GAGTATCGTTCGCGTTGTTCGCGGTCCGCGGATGTTCCGACCGATTCGAGTGCATGTTGAATGGACGGCCTTGACCCCGGCGACAGTATTTTCGTGATCTAGCCGCGTGTCCTTCGCGCGCACCCGAAATAACTCGGCCGGCACACAGGCACGCGTCGATTCCAACGACACCGTTGGCACAGATGCGCACCTGCCGGCATCGGTAATTAGAGGAAATAATGCGACCGAGTTCTACCGTCTCGAGTCCGAAATTACGTCCCCGCGAATTCTTTCGACGATGTGCCGCCGTCACGCCGATCGACGAGAAATCGTTCGATTCCCTAAAAACTCGACACGATGTCCTCCGTCACCCCATGATACAGGGGCGGAATCTTTCGACACGAAGATTTAGAGGGGAAGAAAACAGCTAAATGGCCGCGACTTATTTGCTCGAAAAGCTTTCGGACCTAATAGCTTTCCAGTATTCCTCTGTATCCTTTGGCGAGATACGCGGAAGCTAATACTCTTGGGTCAAAGTGGGAGCTAAAAGCGCTGGTAAATAGGGTCGGTTCTCTATACCGCTATACGCAGCTTCGGTGCTTCTCCCTCTTTCCACCTTCACTCTTTTAACTCCCCCTCCCCTCCCTCTCTCTCTCTCTCTCTCCTCCGTATGACGTCGCTGGGTAGATGGAGAATCAAGCCCGATCCTGCGCCTGTTCCTTAGTTTCCGTTCTATTTGGTTCGGTTTCGTTTCGGGTCAACGGAGGTCGCGTTTCAGGGAGTGCCTCACGCACTCCCCACGCTTCCGGGTTTTCAGGTTACCGGAAACGACCCTGCCACCCTCCTCGTGTCTTCCAACGCCCTACAAAAATCCCCGCGGTCTAATCGTTGCGAAAACGATCTCGTAATTCGAACCAAAACGCCGCCGTTGCACCGTGCCGTGTTGCGTCGCCTTAAAAATCCGCGTTGACATTTCGCGCTGAAAATCCGCGTTGAAAATCCGCGTTGAAATTCCGCGCTCGGCGAGCAGAAGCTGTCTTTGATAGGCCGGAAGCGTAGCCGAGCGGACTGCACGCCGCCGGCAGCCTCTGACAGCTTCCGATAAAACTTTTCTCGCGTCCCTTAGGCCGGCGGAAGTCCGACGTTCAGCGTGTTTTAAAACCAATAATACACCCGTGTTACATCCTGCTCGATACTAGCAATACAATAAACGACAATGCTAGCCCCCGGTTATCTGTTCGCCGACGCGCCTCGAGTCTACAGGGTGTCTCGAGCCGCATCCAAGGGGTGACACCGTACGAAAAATTCGGCCGGAAAATGCCGTGCATCGCGTTTCAACGCGGCAGACTTTTTCGTGTATACGCCGCCGATGAAATTTCCTTTTGATTTTCTATCCAGTGATTGTTTATCGAACGGGAACGCGCGTGAATGACGTCGGTAACCAAACGCCCCTGTGACGAGGTTGATTGAAATATTTACCGATTTGCTCGCGTATCGGGTTTTCCCGTGGGAACGCTTCAAACGCGGGGAGCGGAAAAACTCGATGGAATCTCGGCTAGGCGTTACACGATTCTCAAACAATGACGGTTTTTAACGAGCTGGTTGGGCGGTAATGACCGAGGCCCGACTCCCGATACGACGGTGAACGATCGCGGCGATTCAGCGTTTCGCTCTCGTAGCACCGACGATGACCCATTTCCTAGAATAGTACCGATTCCCCGTCCATCTAAATATTTAGAATTTTAAGACCGTTACGGCTTAACCGACGTCTCGGTTAGCGCGATTCCACGGCAATCGCGTCCGTTGGGAGTCTTTGAAACCGTGAAACGATCCTCGGCTAAATAGCCCGTTTCACCGCGGATTTCTTCCGTCGCGTTTGGAATTATCATTTTGCCAGGCATAAGGGCTCCGAGAAGGGTCCACCGGGAATACGTATCGGGAACGACGTCGTATCCCGCGTCTCGCGCCTGTTCGGGACCGCTCGCGATGTAAAACGGATATCGACGAGGGCGTACGTCGAGCTCGTCCCGGCGTTCATTTGGGAATCGCGGGACTAATTTGTCCGCAGGCCGTTCGAGCAATTCCTAAACCGGTCACGAATGAGCCCCCATCGATTCCAAAATGAAACGGCGGCCTGCCCGCGGGTGTCGTCTCGAATTTAGCTCCATTAAGTTCACTCGACAGCTGCTCCCTACCCGAATCGATCGACCCCGCTAACGAAGATGATTCCGGGTGCGAAGAAAACCGAGTATTTCATTATTCTATTTATTATAATATCCTATGTATTAGTCAACTGTACCGATATTTTGGAAAAATTCAATTTCTATGCATCATCTCGCTACCTTAGGCATACTTCTACACCTTTCTTCCCGAACCTCACCCTACGCTATATGGTAGCTACAATTGTTTCTACTAATTAATGCAAACCGCTGTACCCATCGTTCAGACATTATGCTTTTGCTTCAATTACTGTTCGCTATTCTACTACCTAATCCTTCTCCTATTCATCATTAATCTTTCTTTTGTATTATTATTTCAACAATGGTATTTGTTGCGTGTCTGATAAGTTTCCAATTATTATATTTCCTGTATTATACGCGTATTTATTATTATCTGCTTATTTAACTGCTATTTATACTCATTATATGTATATACTACACTATTTGTCATTTTTTGTACTGTACTATATTATATTATATTATACATATATATATATATTTTTACGGAATTGCGTACAATCGATCCATGAGAGCACGTTTTCCGGTTCGTTCCAGCGAGGAAACGAATAATAATAATAATAATAATAGTTACAGTAAAAAATAAGATATAAGAAGATATGTAAAGAATAAGGAAATAATAAAAAATATAGATAATATAATATGATATGATTATTTTTTGTTTAATGATAATAATGTATACGGACAAAAAGATTTTCTATTTTCTTCACCTTCACACGAATACAATAAATATAAATTAAATTATATAAATACAAATTAAATTATATATAAATATAAATATAGTCATATTATATTATTTATATTTTTTATTATTTCCTTATTCTTTACATATCTTTTTATATCTTATTTTTTACTGTAACTATTATTATTATTATTATTATTCGTTTCCTCGCGGGAACGAACCGGAAAACGTGCTCTCATGGATCGATTGTACGCAATTCCGTAAAACCTCGTAAGCAGCTGGGAGCAAATCGAGCTCGAACGTCGATTTCAGGTAACCTCGAGAATGCGCCATCGCCATTGACGCGGCAGGCCAGCTAAGTCCCTTAAGCTGCTCTCCCAAGCTTAGGAAGCCTCCGCAATACTACGTGGTCCACTCGACGACACTCGATGACACGCGACGACCAGAGTGCCTTTCGTTTTCGCTAGAACTTTCATCCTCTCCTAGAAACGCGACGATTTTCTGACCGAGATCCGGTAGCGGAACGGTCGGTTCGTTTTCCGGAACCGCGGCACGTATTTTTACTGCACGCGACGGTCGAGAAAATTGCACGGAGGCCAGATTGCGCAGAGCCTACCCCCGTTCGTTAAAATATGAAACGCGAATCGTTTACTTGTTAATGCCACGGCCCGGCCCGACAGCCAGCGGCTACTGCGCACTGAATAGCACGGTGAATAGAGCTCGACGCGTTTACATTTTCATTTCGGAGAAAGGGGCGAAAAAGTGGAAGACTCGGACAAACTGGGTTAGTCGAGGACGATTCCCGTGGGTTATTCCCCTTCGGCTTGGCTCGCATCGAGCGACGAGCGACGAGCGACGGACGACGACGGTTCAAACGATGTCGGCTAACTTGGAGGCACAGTCTGCCCGGAGCCATCCCGTCTCTCGACGTGCACCTAATCCTAAAATCCGAGTCTAACATAAGAGATCCGGATGTAATATTTTCGTCTTACCTATCTTCTTCCGATCGTATTACCAGAATTACCAGCAAGGTACAGCTGGAACTGTTCCACTATTTTCTGGTTAAGACCACGTCTCGAGTATCGTTCTACGGCCGTCACGCCATTGATACTAAAATGGTGAGTATCGTACGTGTGCGACATAAATTCTCGCGTCTAATTGCTTGACACTCTGGGGACCCTGACCTTGCCGCATCATATTCGAACCTTTGCCTGACCATGTCATCTTCAAAACTCTGATCTCACTATACTAACCCATTTCTGACCCACTCTCTGTTGTCCAAATTTCGCACACATTTCGTTCAACTGTCTTAGACTACCGCACATTCCACTAACGTACACTATCGTCGTCAACGTGTTTTCGGTTAAGTTGTATCCCGCGGATAAAATATTCTTTAACGGGACACAACACGGCGATTTCGCGCGTTTCTTTCTCGTGTGGGGGTTTGTTTCATTGTTATCGATGTGGGTCGAGAAGGGGGCGGCAAAGAAAAGCAAAAGGCTGGCATGCAGAAAGGCGACCTTTAAAGTTTCGCGAGCTGATCGTGGCCTTGGCGGATTCTAATCTCGTTGGAAATGGAGACATAATCGCGAAGGATTCGTGCCGATCGCGCGACCGGTGTTCGAGTCGCAATTTCGATTATCTTAATCGAAATAAATGCAGAAGTGTTGACTTTTGCACCCAGACGAGGATCGCTTTGAACGATTCGGTTTAAGCGTTTCGGAATCGATTGGAGGTGCGTTCTCCACTCGACCAGTGACTGCTGACTGGTGACACGTGCAAAATAATTGGCCTCCCCCCCGCCGCGTCGATCGATCGGCGCCTCTCGCTTCCTCTCTCGAAAACTAGATTAAAAGCTTCCGATAATAGTTTTATTACGCGTCTCTTGACCTCCTCCGCGACGCGTTGCGGCGCGCTTGTATATCAACGATGAATATCGGTCGAAAAAACCGCTCGAGATAAGCCTCTCGAAGCGATTCGGGAATCTGATTTCAGATTCCAGATTGCTGATTTCAGATTTCAGATCTCACAGATTAATGTTGGATAACGCGACCGGGCGCCCGTGAATTTCACTATAAATACAGATCGAAGTCTCGTTCTAGAATCACAACAGTCGCAGTCACCGTCGACGAGAACCCAGAGCAATCCAGCCGGAATGGAGAAGATCGTCGCAATCCTCGGCCTTGTGGCCTTAGTGGCCGGTAAGTTGTTCAACGGCAAACTTCCGCTTTCTTGGTATTCGAGGAACCGCGCCGGTACGGGAACCCGCGAAATTACGATCGAGCCTCGTCTATTTGCTCGTCGAAATGAAAACGGGTTGCGCCGGTCGCGGCCGGCGCACGGTTCTCGTCCGAGGTAACTTTTCCGCGAGCAAAGTTCCCCGCGTTGAATTACTCGAAAAGTAGCTCGCCGGTAGATAATACGCTTAGCGCTCTCCGCTAGCCCGAGTTTGCCGGACTCGCTATCTAATTTAACCGGGCTTCATTGTGAGCTCGGGGCGGGCCCAGCGGTCCGACATTCGCGCCGAGCGAACAATGCTGATTCTTTGAATGTTTCCAGGAAACCCCGTGGACCGGGCAATCGGGTCGCTCGATCTGAGATTAGACGGCCGCATCGTCGGCGGCGAGGCGACTGTGATCGAGCAGGCCCCGTACCAGGTCAGCCTGCAGCTCTCCGGCAGCCACTTTTGCGGCGGGAGCATAATAGCGAAGAACTGGGTGCTGACCGCGGGCCACTGCGCCACCTACGGGGCCAGCTCCTACCAGATCAAGTCCGGCGCGACGCATGTCAACCAGGGCACGCTGCACCGAGTGCAGCAGGTGATCAGGCACAAGGGCTACAACAGCAACTCGCACGGCGTGCCGAACAATGACATCGCGCTGCTGAAACTGGTCGCCTCGGACGCGTTCGAGTTCAACGATAAACGCAAGGCTGTCAGCCTAAATCAGGGCGATTCCGCGCGTCTGGTCGGCAAGAACGGCCTCGTCACCGGCTGGGGAACCACCAACTCCGGCACCCCGAAGATCCTGCAGAAGGTCACCGTGCCCTTAGTCAAGAAGGACGTCTGCAACAGGGCCTACGCCAGCTGGGGAGGCGTTCCAACCGGGCAACTCTGCGCCGGATACGACGCGGGCGGCAAAGACTCCTGCCAAGGCGACTCTGGCGGTCCAATGGTTGTCGACGGAAAGCTCACCGGCATCGTTTCCTGGGGCAAGGGCTGCGGCACCCCCAAATACCCCGGAGTCTACACCGACGTGGCCTACTACCGCGAATGGATCCGACAGAACAGCGGCGTTTAAACGATACCGGACGACGATACCAGAAAACGATACCTCGAGAACGCGGCCGCCGGCGTTAACAAGATGACGCGACCGATGCATCGAACAACCACGGGCGAACACTCGGCTTACCCTAAGTCCCGATCGCCAGGACTTACGGTAAGCCGATTTAGCGATGCCTCGCAGTAGCTTTAAGAATAAAGTATGAACCACGACATTATTTATAAGCGCATGCGATAGATGGAAAAGCGGAGCAACCCTTGCAATGCGTGTCCTGTGTAAATAGACACAATCTTGCCAATAAAAATGACCTATTGTTAACTATTCCGTGTACGAGTATAGTCCTCTTACCACCTGTTAGGAGAGGTGTTATTCCTAACCCGTTAGGGGCGGATTCGGTGGGTTGCAATAGAACGAGAAATTTACGTGATAAATCTGAATTATTTCGATGACATGTATTACTAAGTCTTTTAGCTATAATAGTAAATATCTCTTGACGAAAGCATTTGCGAGTATACTTCCACAGGAAAAATTTGTTTCTTTTAGACTCCTTTTATACCTAAAGTTTGGCGATTTAATCTGGGCGCACCCTGTATATCATACCGTCGGGGTCTTGCCCGACATTTGGAGCCCGTTTAGGCATGAACAAAATGAAATAATAATATCTCCGAAGAGCGTAGCCCCTCTCGGAGAGGCGCAGAGTGGGCTGGCGAACCGACGACACAAAAATAATTAAAAAAATACGCGAAGATGGAAACTACGCTGGGAAGGCTACACGACGCGAACGAAATGCACTGCGTGGACAACGAGATAGAACAGAGCAAGCGAAGAATAGCCTCGTTTTTCGAGCAAGATAGAATTTATGCGAAGTTTCCGCGGTACTACGCGATAGCGAGATCCGGCGCAGCGAGATCTTACGAGCGAATCGAGCGAGAAGGTGAATTCCATGAGCCTAGTAAGTCGATGAGATAGACGGAACGAAAGAAACCATGAGGGATCAAGGCGGGAACGCGACTGACATAACCCAAGGAATTTGATCGCCGGTAAAAACTCACTCCAACGATAAACAGAGGCCGAGAACGAGCAATTCTCGCTATTGAGACCTAGGTTGGTCCTTCAAAGAAAATTGCTCGCGCAATCGGAAAGTCCGCCTACAATTGCCAACGTGACGAAGACGCCGGACGATGGCAACTGCCTCGGTAGTGAACAGTATTGTTAGCCTAAGCGCGTGGAAGCCCCAGCGTCGCTCAATTCAATAAATACGTTTCTTCAACTACTCGGAAGGAAGAATCTGTCAGACCTGAACAATCTTGCAGGCAAGAGCTTCTCAGGTGTCTCACAGTTCTAGATCTACTACGAAGCCTTGACCCTTGACGTCCGAGAAACGGAGCATTTGAACATTAGAGAAAGTCAGGAGACTTTATTTCTCACGTCTGCTTACCAGACTCGTCGAACCGCGACTGACCAACCGAATGCGAGGCCCATCCATTAAATCGTGTGTTCCCGAACGATCGTTCTCTCTTCGTCCGAGAGAGAACGCACTGCCGAATTCGTCCGATTAACTTTCGCACGCACACAACACCACCACTCGTTCAATTAAGAAGCCTCGCTCCTAACACCACCAAACAAACAAGTAAACGACGATATGAGTTTCAAAGCTCCAAGTATTTTTCCAAATTTTTGCAACATTCGTAGAATTTTTACCCCCCTCCCCCCCAATTCTTAATCCTTCAGCATACCATTTTCTTCGCAATTACTGCGATCAGAAATTTTTCGATTGCAATAATTTCTGAGAAGGGAAAGAAAATTGATGCTTATTGTGTGCCGAAATTTTCTTGGATGCTTAAATATTGACGACAAAAGATTAGAATTTTATTCCAATTCTAAAAGATAGAATAACATGTATACATGTACGTATATAACATACATATATATATATAACTATACTCAACAAGTTATTACTAGAAATTTTCATGACGAGTCGGACTCGTCGGAGCGCGGCAAGAGGTTAAAGAGTCTTGCAAAGTTGAGCAAACAAAGTTGCAAACAAAGTTGGAAAGGAAATCGGAAATGAAATTGGAAATAAAACTGAACTAGCAAGAGACTGATTGAAATATATAAAATGAAACTATCGAGCGTTAAAAATAGATAGATACTATCCTAGAATTGGCATTGACTTTTTCATTAACGATCTCAATAAATTTTAAACTTAACTTTATAATGTTATCAGAAGTTATTATGTCTAAGTTCGTTTTGTATATTGTAATCATATTCCATGTACAGCCCGCTACCTCTCAATTCGATTCCTGTTTTTGATACCTTTTAATTTTTAATACCTAACCATTGTTTACGTTTTATTATTATTTTCTATTGTTATTATTATTATCATTATTATTATGTTGAATTTTTGTAGAGAAATTAAAAGGGCATTTGACCCGTTGATGCTAAATAAATAAATAAACAATTGGCCACAAAAGTGTTTTTATAACGATCGCATGCGTCCAACGATGCAACAATCCTATTGTTCCCTATCTCGTTTGTTGACTGCGGCGCGCGCCTGCTTACTAATTCCCTAAGTCTAGCCGGCAACGTCAGCAGACCGAAAACAAAGGTAAATCGCGAAGAGAAGAAAATACTGACGGATCGGGGACAACCTTGATTGATTTTGTTTTACTAATCTTCTTCGGAGGTGTCGATCAACAAGCTTAAACGCCTAATCTCCGGCGTTTCTTTGAATCCCTCGGCTCTTATCGATGCACTGGACTCATCCGCGGTATACAGCTTGCATATCCGATTTTCGTATAAATACTTGCCGGATGGCCGGTAAAAGGCACAACAGCTCATCCAGCCGAAGCAAGATGTTCCTCCAAACGAGCCTTCTCTCATTGCTGGCGTTCGCCGCAGGTAACTATCAACAATATTCGATATCATTCTTGCGACATGGAACTCGGTCGACGAGCCGAGGACCGAATATCGATGCATTTCTCGAAAAAGAGAAATTCGGCCGGGGCAAATAGCTTGGAAACTGATTCGCCTATCTCGTTCACAGCCAACCCTCTCGCTAAACTGCCCGCCTTGAACCCTCTGACCCCGACCGGGCAGATAGTGGGCGGCGAGGACGCAAAGATCGAGGAAGTGCCGCACCAGGTCTCGTTGCAGAGTTCCGGTTTCGGGTTCTGCGGTGGCAGCATCATCTCCGAGGAATGGGTGGTCACGGCCGGCCACTGCATGATCTACCCCGCCGATTGGATCACGGTGCGAGCCGGGACCACGGTTAAGTCGTCGGGCGGCAGCGAACACCAGGTCGCCGAGATAATCCTCCACGAGAACTACGAGACCAACTGGTACGGTGTTCCGTTGAACGACGTGGCTGTGCTCCGAGTAAGCACGCCGTTCAAGCTGGACAAGACCAGGCAGCCGATCAAGATCTTCAAGCAGGACGAGGAGGCTAAGGTCGGAGTCGCCGCGGTCGTCACTGGATGGGGTGCTGTCAAAGAGGGTGGTAGCACCACCGAAGTCCTTCAGAAGGTCGAGGTCCCGATCGTCTCGAAGAAGGCCTGCGACGAAGCCTACCAGTCCTATGGCGGTCTGCCCGCCGGTCAGATCTGCGCGGCGGTGCCACAGGGTGGAAAGGACGCCTGCCAAGGTGACTCCGGCGGTCCTCTCACCATCAACGGCCGCCTGGCCGGTCTGGTCTCCTGGGGATACGGCTGTGCTCGGCCGAATTACCCCGGCGTTCACACGGAAGTGGCCGCCTTCAGCAAATGGATCGCCTCCAAGACCGGAATCAAAGTTTAATCATCCACCGACGTAATTCTCCACTCGGACTCCTCAACGACTAACGACGACTACAATTCATATTCTTATATTCCCTTTGTGTATCTTTAGCGCGCTACCTTCGGGAGCCAGCGCAGTAAAATAAAGCAGCATTAAAAGACACGATTTTTCTTCCTTGCGACGACCTCTTCCACTATCGCGTCGACGCCTGTCCGAGGATACCGTAATCCGCGGCGTAAAAGCGCCGGGATCCCGAGATACCGTAATAAGCGAAGAATCCCGGCATTCGTTTCCATTAGGACCGTTCCATGGCGAGCTACCGACAAATCACAATTAACGCGCAACTCGGACAGCTCGGAAAGTCCAAGTCGGGTTTCGCGTTTCGTGTTCCGAGTTTGATCCAACAAACAGCAACCGGAAGGCCTCGTTTTCGATACGCCTTAACAAACGGCGCTCGAGACCGTTCAAGGTGGAAATTGATTCACCGCTCGCGGAGCCGGCAAAGTGCGCCACCGCCATTCAATCTCTACTAATGCGTCAACTCGATTCTACGAGACCGGTGTCGGAAACCACGGTAAGTGCAGCTACCTTTCATTAACAGATTGCGTCATGTCGTGCGACGCGGATACGGATACGGATACGGACACGGATACGGATAGGAGACAAAGACACGAGGACGGAGACGGAAGCTGGGCTTCCGTGGTATTCTGGACATGTCGCGAGCCGGCCATCGGGAATCCGTAACAGAATCTCGAATTTCGTCCCGTTGGCCGAGTTTCCCGACCTTTTCTAGCAAGGCGAAAGTCTCCGCGAGGCCGTGCAATTAGAGCTTGATTTACATTAGTCGCGTCAAAGCCCACTGCCAAAGCGTTGCTTTCCCGCTGCCAAATCGGAAAATGCGGCACTATCGTCGTTTGTTAATTTTTTACCTGTGAAGTCGTCTCTCTCGTCGATGCGAAGGTCGTAGCTCGGTTGTTTCCACCGTTGTAGCGTAATTTCGCGGCGCGATCTCTGCCCGCGAGGACAGAAACTCGACTAGGGTAGTAGGCCCGGCGGGCCAACGTAATCGTCCAGAGAAACGAGTTCCACTTTTATATGGGTTAAAGACGCGGCACACGGTCGAGCTTTATGGCGATGATTTGCCGCGGAGAAATGGGACCAGTGCCAAACGCGATTTCCTCCAGTCATACGAGTCGCGCGCGACCTGCATCTCTTTGCGCGCCTCATTGTTAGTCACAGTCGATGTTCGTAGAAATTATATTTTATTCGATCACAATATTACAACATTTTCGAAACGTTCACATAAATACGATGTATGCAGGAACGCAAATTCTATGGATTTGACTGAATCTGCAATATTCGAGCTTCTGGTTCCAATCATCGTTCATAGTTGCGTCGAACTTCGTTTACCGCGAGATTTAAATAAATGCAGCCTACAACACTGATTTCACAGGTAGCGCTTTCAATTATTTCCAGCTCGACGCCAGGGTACCCTGCCCAGAATTGATCGAATCGGATAATATGCGCGGGCCGGGAAAGCGTTTCCTTCGCAGATCTTGTCTCATTTTTCATGGTAAATAAACGAATAAGCCTCTGTTGTACGAACGTGGGTGTATCGCCTGCTCGCGTTTGGAGCCAGGCCAGCGAACACGAAATCGCCGAAAACCGCTACCTTGCCTCGAACCGTCGTTATCGTCTCGCGCGGCCCGCCGAAAATCACGATTCCGCGTTCGTTCGGTTCGCGGGTTGCCGGCCACCATCGATTCGACAGAGTTCGACGAACGCAAACAACTACGCGTACCGGCAAGGACCAGTCGATAAATTATTTTTAGAACCTCCGGTTAGCCGGCGTGGAACTAACGATCGAACCGGGTAAACGGGGACGATCCGATCGAGGTCAATCGCGTGCAATCGGTTCCCGGGAGGAAACGATCGCTTCACCTTGAGCCGGCGAGCCCGTTGCGATCGCGAACAACCCTTGCCGATCTTTCAAATTCTTTTCGTTTCAGTAGAGAAATCGATCGCAGGCCGATTTCAAACGCGCAGGATCTAGACCGTCTGTGGTCACCTAGTATCTTTTGACGATCATGGCTACCTGCCTATCGTGAGTCACACTAAGTTTACGTCTATTAAGCAATGACGATTGCAGCACGACTTGCTCTCTATTTGCCCACAGCCCTGAAATCTGGGCACTTCTTCGAACACTCGAGTCACGTTCGACTAGTAGAAGAAAGTTTAGAGAAGAAAGGTGTATTCATGATCTACGGGCCTGGATTAATGTAAAGGCCTATGATCCCACTCGCGGAATAGAATGACTTATGCAGAAATTCCATCGGACGCCACGCAACAGAGTAAACATTTTCGGTGTCCCCGGCTCCTTCCGACATTCTTTGCTCATTATCCTTCGCGTTGTTCTCTCGCGTATACTAACGTGCTCTGCTCGCTAATAAATGAAATGAAATCTAGCTCGTGAAAGACAACCCCGCGATACTCCGCATTCCACGATAAATTTCAGTAACCCTATTCACCGAGATGAGTGCGCGACAATTTATAGGCGCGCGCGCTCTTTTAATCGATATTTATAGAAGACTCCCGATATTTATAGAGTCGATTGACCTGATATTTCTAAAGCCGATGCGAGAGAGCTTGACATTTAAAAAAAAACCGTGTTCTTGGGAGAGAAAAGGGTCTCTCGCTCGGTGGCGTGTACCATTCCGTGGTATTCCAAGTAGAACGGAGTAGTCGCGTGAATCGACCGTTCGCCAGCAATTTCTGGGCTGTTGCTCGTCCACCGAATTCTTGACCGACGAGAAAAAAAGGAACGGCCGAGCCGTTTCAAGCCTTTGTGAGCAGGATGGCCGCTCGGTTCGATGCCGGGGTTAACGAGTCGTGGAAACGATCCCGCGAAAGGAGTTTCGCTCGAGGATTGGAGCGGCGCGGCGAGCGGTGGGCGCGCGAACAGTTGGCGGAACGTTTCTCGGTCGCTGGGTCCTCTGGTTTCGAGGTGAATCACGGTCGGAAACCGAGAGAGAAACGCGGAGGGAAACGAGAAGTGAAACGTGCAGGGAGACGCGGCGGAAGCTGGCAGAACGGACGGCGGTTACAGGGAGAGCGCGTGACCTTTTGACCCCGCCGCTTACGCACGCGTGCCAACCCCCGATTGAACTACTTTCCACGGAATATTCCCATTAACCCCTTGCGGTCCACCGCCGAGTCGGCCTCTATTCACAATATACTTTATCGCGTTTAGCGTTTGGGGTTACCGTGCAAAGGGGACACGCAAACGCAGCTCGGCACGCGTAAACGGCTTACACCGCATCGCCTTCGCTGAGCCTTCGGTAACTTTCCATATTCCCGCGTGTAATCGCACTGCGCCCTATTAGTATAATCGGCTGGCCAACAGGTCGCCAGCGACCAACTGATTGAAGAGTGTCCAACTCGCGGACAACTGTTCCGAGCAGACGACTACAGAGTACAGAGTACGTGTCCTTTGCGTAGGCGTGGTTTGTAGAAGGGGAATAGCTTTGCCTATGGTCAGACGACGACCGAGTGGGCGTGGTTTGGCTGCTCTCGATTTGGACGGGGCCAGGACAGTGCCCTACGAGTACGATGACCATATTTTCTTGGCGAAAGTAAAGGACACGATGGCATTATTTGCGAAGTAAAGGATAAAATCGCCGTTTTAGAAAAGTAATAAGTTCGAAGGGCGCACGGGGCAACCCTGGCGCAGCATCCCCAGCGCAGCAACCCCATGGCCGAGCTAACTCCGAAATAGACTGGTATAGACCTATAGAGTACCTTGTGCAGCCGAAATGGATTCGGGCAGTCGAGACGGACTCGACAGAGGTGAGAGGTATCGACCGTTCGCTGGTTTCCGTCGACCGATGGATTAATCGACTTCCCGGCTCCCGAGAGCGGATCGTTTTCGCGTATCATCGGCAATGCGGCGGCAATCTGTCCGTGACGTCGTCAGAGAATCGTGACGACGACGATGACAACGACGGATATGCATAAATGAATATGCATAGAGGCGGGAACATCGGCGGCTTCATCTTTGAAAATTTAATTAACCAAGCAAACGTGCTCAACAACACCGAAGAAACCGATGTTCCCTATCTGCGACGCGGCGTGCCCCGATCGCGTCCCGATCGAATCGACTTCCATCCAGCTAGAAATAAAACGAGCCTCACTCTCGTTCGAGCCATTTTTAACCGGCAAATCTCGTTAAAGGTCGCGGATGCGGTACTGCGATTAAGTCACACGCGAGATCGTCCACGAAAAAGTGAACAACAGCCGAGGGGGTGACACCGTTATCGGCGTCGCGTTGCTTACGATATCGCTGCGGACGGGCCGAGTCGGGTCGAAAGGCCCGCGTCGATCGCCTTTCAATTCATTTCCTCCGGCGGCGATGCCGTTTAATTGCAATCCCTCTCCTTCCTTCTACTCCTCGTTAGGCTTCGTGTTAAAGGAAACAACGTAATCGCGAAGAGAAAGTGGCTGCGTTTTCGCACCATGGGGAAACCCTGGCTCGGATTACGAACTTTGCAGAAAAGCCCGAATAACCGTTGGCTCGTCCGTTATTTTTAGCAACGAATCGTCGCATCACGCTGCACTCTGGCCACTTCAATCTTCCTCTATCAATTAACCCTTGCGCTACCACCCGGATCTTTCCACGTTAGCCACTATTCCCTGAAATACCGTCACCGCGAACCGAAATCCAAACGTCCAGGCAACGCGGAAAATAGCGTTCGTTTGGACCGAGTTAGCTTCCGGATCAGTCCCTTAAAAATTTGATCGAATATTTCTAATTAACATCGAAAGATACTTCGAACGGGTGTTTTCGAGACATTTCTCTACTCGTTTGACCGCAAAGTTAAATTACAAGACTCGAAGCAATCGATTTCGGGAAGACGTCGGCGTCGACCGCTCGTAAATTCTGAGAATCGATCGAAACCGTTTCTCGGCGAGCGAGACCGATCGAATCTCGTTATGGTCGCGCGAGAATCGAAACGCTACTAAATCGAGGTTGCGGCGATTCTGCGTTGGACGAGACCAAAATCGTCCTGCGGAGGGATTCAAAATGTCTGCGCGGCTTTCGATCGTCCCGCTCGATAAATATCGATTCAAGATGGCCGGTCAATGAGAGGGGAAGCAGCGCCGAGCAGCCGCAAGATTTTCAGAGGACGAAAACTCGATTCGTCAGGCGACGCGCCAATGACGTTACGCGGTGAAAGGGGAGAGGGAGGGAACAAGAGGAACTATTTTCGTTTCGACCGTTTCGCGTAGACGTTTTCGCGTTCGATTCGATCCTCTTGTTCCCACCGTTCCGGGTAAACTAACTGGAGAGTGTCGGCTCTCGAGAGAGTCGAGCTCTCGAGGAACCAGTGCACACACAGAGTACCAGAACACGGAGCACCAAAGCCCGAGGGGAACCAAAGCTCGAAGAGCACGGTTCGGTACTCGCGGGATCTAGACTGTGGGTCTAGAGGTTTCGGCGGATCTAGTCACGTTCAATGTCGACCCTGATCGAAGCTAGAACAACTCCGGCGAAAAGGGTGCTCGGCCATCGGTAAAGATAGAAGCGACGGATCCGCCGAAACTCTCAGGATTATATCACTCATGGTCGCGCATCTGGCAATGAATCGAGTCGACTCACCGAGACGATGCACTCCGCAGTCTTGCCTGGGATCGTCGATCGCTGGTATCGTCGTTCTCCTCCTCGAATTTGCTCGAATTCGGGCCGTCACCCGACCAATTCTGACCGCTCTTCTTTTCCGTCCAACAAACAGAGATTACAAAGTCGCACTGCCCGGAGAGACACGGTGATCGCCGATGAGGATCGAAGCACACGACTAAACGTCACCGAGAACAGATTCAAATATCTCTCCTATACACGCTACGCGAGATCTTGTGTCGAGGCACGAGAGAAAATTTTAAGACGAATAGTCCGTTACCGCACCCGTACCCGTAATTCGTAACCAGTACCCGTTCCCGTACCCGTATCTCCTACCTGTACCTGTACCTATACCTGTGCCCTGTACCCGTAACTGTAACCGAAACCGTAACCGTAACCGTAACCGTAACCGTGCGCGACAAGTTTCACACTGAGGGTTGTTTCGGCGCGAGTCGCCGCGTAGCTACCGCACCGCCACCCCTCGACCAACTGACAAGGCTCTCTCCTCTCCTCTCCTTTCTCGTTTCTCGTTTATCGTTCCTCGCGTGTCTCGTTTCTCGTTTCTCGCTTCTCGTTTCTCGCTTCTAACTAACCACCGAACCACCGATCTTCCGTTCTCTCTGTTCTAGCGTCTATTGTTTCGTGAAACGATTGGTTCGCCGTGCTCTTTTTACCCTACAATTGCGGCTTATCCGCGCACAGAAATTCAAAACAATTCTATTAGCCACCGGAAAACGTTTATACGTGTCTGCTATCAATACTAAATCCGGGTCCAATTTCTTCTATTACTGCGGGAATCTACAGGATTCTTCAAATACGACTACATTCAATTAATCCATTGGCGTGCCAATTCCATCAAATTCGATGTTGCCTCGGATACTATTTACTTTTTAAATTGTCGTTTGTGCAAGCTTAGAAAAAATTTTTAATATGGATTCTAAATGGACGCGATGACGGAACGATCAAACACGTGTACATTTTTGTATATTTGGGGTTATAATGCTAGATAGCACTGTTTCTGTTTGCCTGGCAAATGACATATCCGAATCGATCTACCGAATCGTAAATCATTTGTGACTCGATTCTTCAAAATTATTAAACAACGCGAATAACTTTAACGGAGTTGTTTTACGACTTAAAACACTTTCCGGAGAACCGAAACGATGCGATGAGACAGCACTCGCCAACTGTTATTGTCCCCTTCGTAGCGATATTCGGACATATAAACATCAATGCACATCGGGTTGCCGTTTACAGGCGTCACGTAAGACATCTAATCTATCTTTCTTTTTTTCTATTTACGTTCAACTTAATTTGTTAAGACTGATTTATTTTGTTATCTATTGATTTGTTAAGACAGGTTTATTACCCGTATACAATAAATAATAATAGTAACCAACTGGAATATCTTTAATGACGTATCCTCTGACGACCCAAAGTATTAATTACTACTGCACCCTACGTACTGACACGCAGGTACACGTCTGCGTACGCCAGGTTGTCATGTACAAGCGTTATGCGGAAGATATCCTATCTCCATCGTTCTAAAATTTAAACAGCGATAACAACGAGGAATGCTTCGATCGAATTATTATGCACGGTGCATCTAGAAGAAATATGGATAATATGCACCGCACGCGTTTCGTTCATGGTCGAACGTTTGTTCGCGAATGAAAAATCTATCGCCTCGTTAACGTATCGCTCGGGGCTTCGATGAATGCAGCACCGAGGATGAACGCGATAAGAACGTTCGTTACCTGTCCACGATCTTCAGGGTAAATGCGACAATGGTTTATCGAGAATACGGAAGCACCTCGCCAGCTCGGTAACTGATGAATTACGAGTTCATTTCGAAGTCAAGCTCGGGGACATTTTGACGTTTTCCGAAGACTTTGCAAAATGTACTGCACAAGGTTATTTGCATAAACGTAATACTGCGATAGCGACCGGAATATCATTAGACAGTTGGTACGGGACTTTCGCGTGCGCACGTTTGAATAGGTTTAATTGATCATTTACAGGGTTAAAATTGTCCGATATGCAAGTACATTCGAAAGGAACGGTACCAAGATCGATCATGCGTTGTCTCGCCAAAATGATTCTGCTGCTTCTCGGATGTGAGTATCTTTCGTTCGTAGATGCCACGTGTTGGGCTCGATAGATCCATATCGATCCGCGTTCCATAGAGTTTTATTTGATGGTTGTTTTTTATTTGACTGAGTTTTATTTGACCAATTTGGATCGTTTAGCATCGGCCCACGGATTCCAGTATTCCTCCCCGGACCGAATCGTCGGAGGATCAGAGATCGACATCTCGAAAGTCCCGTACATGGCAAGTATACATGTGTTATTTCTCTAGATCTCGAGCGCGTCCAAGACAGCTGTTTTCGATATAATCGTTGTCGAGCGTATTAACGAACCCTGGGAATCGCGAGGAGATCGCGAAACCGAATAACCGACTGACGGAACAATTGTCCACGTGCAGTTGTCTGTCATGCTGCACGGCAACCATATTTGCGGTGCCACCATCATCGGGGAGGAATGGGGATTAACGGCGGCCCATTGCTTGGTTGCGTGAGTAAACGCTGCTCTCGAAAGTTTAGCATCTTTCCCAAGTCCGTTTCTAAACGTTCCGGGTCCTTTTCTCGAACGCGAACAGCTTCATGGACGAGCCCGACCTCAACTTCACCGTGCGCAGCGGATCGAGCCAACACGACTTCGGTGGGACCGTCCACAACGTCACGTACAGGGTCTACCACGAGAAATATAATCCCGACGACAACGACTACGACATCGCTTTGCTCAAGGTTGCCCCGCCGTTCAGCTACAGCAACGTTACAGCCCCGGCGATGCTGCCTTCCGACGTGACCAGATCCATCAACGCGGATCGGGGCCTAGTCTCCGGTTGGGGTTACTTCGAAGTACGATTCGTTCACCGATTTACCATCTTATCGCGGGCGAATCGATCGAGACGGCATGCCGGCATTATTTTTTAACCTTGACACTGCCGATCCCATGCGCCGATGCCGTCGAAACGATAGGTTCGCTGTCAGTCCCTGGGAGCTGGTACCGCCCAAACAGAAAGTCCACTGTCAGCTCCAGGGGTCTGACGCAGCGCTTAACGTGTTAATCCTGCCAGGATTTGCAGGACGACGATCCGGTACTGTCGGAGGACCTACAGTATGTAATCGTTCCGAGAGTTCCTAGGAAGACATGCCGTGAGTTTTACAGCCATCGGTTCGTGGTCACGGACCACCAAATATGCTACGGGTTCGAGCAAGGAGGCAAGGATGCGTGCAAGGTAAACACGAGTTGTACGGGTTGTCCCGGGTTCGGGTATTCTTTATCCTCGATTTTTTGCGCAGGGTGACTCCGGCGGGCCGTTGGTATATGGCGCTACTGTGATCGGTGTCACTTCGTGGGGCTACGACTGCGGACAACCGCATTCGCCCGGCGTTTACACCGACGTCTGGAGCGTCATGGATTGGATTAAGAATAAAACTATGCTCTAAGTGATTCGAACGTTCTCAACCTTTCTATTCTATTTGCTCCGTAAAAATAAAATTTAACCTTGCAATATCTTTCCGATTTATTCCTCCGATAAAAGACATTTTATTGATCATTCTGGCGAATGACCAACTCGACGGACTCCCCGTCCTCGCAGATGACCAGCTTCGCCGACTTGTAGCGCAGCAGGTCCATCATCCTCAGGCTGGCCCATTTTTCGAAGACGCGCTTGTAGTACCACGGCAGGCGCTCGAAGCCGCCTGCATCCGCCAACGAGTTATTGTACTCCCACTGCTTGTCCATCAATCTGTGCGCGTGCCACTTCTTCCCGGTCTTCAGTTTCGAGTCTTCCAGCATCACCGATCTCGACGGCAAACCCGCTTTGTTCTTCAGCAAAGCCAGGAAGTATTGTACCTAGAAAATGCGCGAGTCTTAGACTTTGCTTTTTTTTCCAGAAGTCGCGAAAGACGTCTTTCGAATTTACGAGCGATCTCATAATTACTTGCACGTGAAACATGGGAAACGGTATCACGATGGTGGGTATCCCGACGATGCACATCGTCGGATGATCGATGTTGATCAAGTGCTTGTACAACGGTGCCACGTGATTGTCGTCGACGCGAATCCCAGAGGTTTCGTCGAGGAACGGGAAAGTGAACTTGTACCCGGTGCAAAAAATGAACGTGTCCGCGGTAACGGCGGTCTCATCTTTCAAATGGAACCGGAGACCGTCTACTCTCGCCAGGCCCATCACCTCCGACACGTTCGCTGGCAACGTGCTCTTCAACCTGCGTCGTTTTGTTCGTTTATTTTCTCGGCAGCTAATGTTTCACGTAGCTAAAGCATCCGAAGAATTTTCGACGACTCGATTCGATTCGATCGCGAATACCTGTTGTTGTTGTGGCTCAAATACACTCGAGTCGCGTGATCTGCCAGATCGATCGCTATGTCGATCCCCGAGGAGGCTGCACCCAACACGAACACCGTCTTCCCGGTGAAATCTTCCGGCTTTCTATAGGAATGACTGTGCATCACCGTCCCTGAAAAGGTCTCGATTCCGGGCACGTTCGGCATGTTGGGATCGAAGTAATGCCTGCATCGTTCAAATCAAAATCGTCAGTGAAGCTCGTGGCAATTAGAATGTTTCAGCAATCCGTCGGAACGCACCCGTTGCAGATCATGACAGCGTCGTAAACGATCTTCTCCTCCTGCTTCGTTTTCAACCTTTCGATCCGAACCATCCACTTGTCTTCGCCACCTGGCCAAGAGGTGTCCAGTCGAACCGATTTTACTCGCGTGTTAAACTGCAACCACCGCGTATTAGGCATACCAAACTTGAATCTAGACGGGGCAACTCGTGAAACTTTCGATTAACAATTGTTCCCTGCGAAACTGTTCTACAAGATAAAAATGTCGAAAGATCGTCTTGTTTCCAGCGCGTTACACGAGTCCGCTAGCTTTGTACGCGCTGCGCCGAGTTTACCTGGATGTGTTCGAGCAAAGCGAAATGCTTCGCGTAGTTCTCCAGGTAAGCACGAACTTGCTGGTGCGTCACGCAACAAGGCTCCACGGCGTTCATCGTCGGATAATCGGGAAAGTTCATGATTCTCGCGGGCAGGTTGGTCCTGCGGTAAAGTTTTCGATGAACGGGAAAGAGTTAGGGGAAGCGTGTATCGGTTTGTCGGAGCGAACCTCAGATTCCTGTACATGCTCGAGTGTATAGGCAACCCGTTCTCGTCTAGGCCGGTTCCCTCGGTGTAAACCCACGTGCCGGCGACACAGCCCGTTTGCTCGTAAACGCTCACCTCGAAATTGAAATCTCGCGCAAAGTGCCTGGCAGCGCACAAACCGGCAGCGCCAGCTCCTATCACGCACACTTTTCTTATCCTCGTCGGCTCAGCCATCTGTGCTCCGTCACATAACCTGTGCAACGCAAAAATCGTACGGCATTCGTTAAGATTCGTTGATATCGGACTAGAACACTGTGTTCCCGGACGTTCGAACGGCCGCGTCCTCAAAATCGCCGAGACGTCGATCGATCGATCGAGGCGCCCTTTCCAACCCGCGTTCCGCGACGAACCCAAAAAAAGGAAATAAGAGCGATCCAGCTTGGATCAAAATGTGCCGATTATTTCTGTTACAAACCGGAATATCGAGAAACCGCGCATCTTCCATCGGAATCGGTTGTTCTTCGCGAACTGAAACATTCGCGACACCGTTTGTGCGTACTTTGCCCGGTTACTTTTGTTACTTACTCGAATGTTTTAAAATTAAACGAGGACGCCCTATTCGCCTTCCACGCTCGATCTCCTCGACTAAACTATTCTAATTGTTCGGGTTTTTCCTCGTTTTTATAGCGGTGATAAGGGAAGGGGCAAGAATTTTTGAGAAATATGAATAAAATCGGGAACGGAAAAAATATGGAAACCGCAGGTATTACTGGAAAATCGTCGTGATCAACAAGAATAAACAAATACCGTGTGACTGTACAGTTTGATAAGCTTCCCGTGATAAGGCGAACGTAAACAGCGTTAGTTAATTATCGTGCTGCGCTAATAAACTATCGTGATCAACGTGTAGAAGTAAAATATTTATTGCGTTATTTCTTAATAACATTATCGTGTAAATAATCGTTAACATTAGTCTTACGGACTATATTAATGATCGTGTTGAATCCAGTTATAACCTAGTACTGAGCAATTAATTGTAAAGTGTCTATGTTACAGCGACATATATCTTTAAGTATAGATCTCAGTCGACGCGTCATACCACTCAAACCAGAGTTATCGTGTATAAAAAATTATCTCTTTCGCTCCCTCTCTCTCTCTCCCCTCTCTTTCGCTTTCTCTTTTTCTTCCCTATGTAACAATTCGTTATAGCAAATCTATAAAAATGCGAACACGACGATCGCGAGTACGTGAAACTGAATTCGATCTAATTGATTTAATTCCGGCGGAAGTGAAAAAACGCGCTTCCTCCCGAGAAAAAAATTTATAAAACGTTCGTTAGCTTTTTTTGTTGATTCTTAAGGACACACTATTTTTCTGGTTGTTACGAAGTTCTTTCTTGGTTTTCGAGCGAGCTTCCTTTCGGGAACGTCGAGGAGACGTCGCTGTTTTCACGTTGCTCGAGGAACAGAGGAACGCAAACAAGAATCTACGGTTCGAACGAACGTTCCTCTCGCAGCGTGGCAAGAATTTCTGTACAATACGCTCGCTCGGACACGCGTAGACACCTAACACGGCCGACGAACCGTTATTCCGGGTAACTTTTACTTCGATTTCTCCTCGATCCGATTCGATCCGATCGGTTCTCCTCGCGAGAACAGTATGCTCGAAAAATGATGGTCGTTAGACAACTCGAGTCTTAGTCGTCGATATAAACATGCCGGGTCCTCGAATGAACCTCGTGCCAAAAGACGAGAACAGTATACCGCTCGTAAACTTCCTGCCAGAAAGAAGCAAGGAATGAAAATATTTTCCCATCGACACCGAAATAAATATTATAAACAATCGGACCGATGCTCCTCCAGCCGCCGATTAAACGCTCCGTTCGAGAGGCCGACCCCTAATGTCGACGACGACGACGACGACGACGACGACGACGACGATGACGACGACGACACAGTCCAATTACAAAAGCTCAACGAAACAGTTCTATCAGCTGTAAACATTTAATCGCAACGAACAGATCAACAATAATCTCATCTCCCGATTCTCTCTTCGTTCATTCGTTCTCAGTCTATTGATCCTCCGTAATTTATTTATAAGTATGCGCACACGCGCGTGGCACACGCGTCGCGCTTAAAACGAAATTCGTGCAACGGATCTACAGGTATTAACAAAAAAAAAAAACAGAAGGAAAGTAAGAAAGAGAAAAGATAAAGGACAGAAAGAAAAAATGATAACAAAACCGTCTCGTATGCTTAAATACTGTACGTACAATAATTTGAAGGATGTTCAAAACAAAAAAAAAAAGGAAGAGAATACTCGGCATAACAAGAGACGAAAGGAAAGAAGTATCTCCCTAACGTTGACTAAATCGAACGAATCGACGTTCAATTCATCCGTCGCGTTGATTTCTCGACGCGTTTTCTTCTTTCGGTTCTATCATATATTGCGTTACTGCGCTCTTCTAATTGCCGTTAAGTGTATAAATACTTTCGATCTTGCGCGAACAAACACGATCGATTCCCTAAACTCCACGGGTAAGGCTGTTACGGAAATTTCATGAAATTTCACGGAAGCGTACCTTTCTTTCTCTCGTCCATTCCATCCGTGTCGCTAGCAGTATTCGCCGATCAACGCTTATAAATTACGTTCCGTTAAATTCGCGCACGACATTCCATACAAGTTTGAACATTCGAATCCTCGTTACCGCGACTCGATCCTGTTTTTCTGAAAAAACGCTTCCCCCCCCCCCTCTCTCTCTCTCTCTCTCTCTCCCGGTAACTAGTATAAAAATCTGAAATCTCCCAACTTTGAATTGTAATCGAAAAACCCGATTGTTACCGTTCTCGATAATCCTCGTGCTCCACGAATATACGTATGTGTCTACATATACGCACGTACATATATGTATATATATATATATATATATGCTTTGGCAAATATCCTCTTTCACTCATTCATACTCTCTTTCTTTAACTAGTTCGACCATCGACCACGACATTCCTATTTTACGTCAACTCGAAGAGAACGTTCAATCCAAAAATAGTACCATCGTCGAATAGTTCCATGGGGTTTCCGCGAAATGCGAACGGGAACTCATTCTTTCGGAAAACAGTCTCCGCTTTTCCGTCGACAACTGGAAACTCCGTCTTTCGCGAAGAACCAGGGAAACGAACAGTGTCGAAATAATTGTCGTACAAAACATTCACGCCAGATAATATTCAAAATACATCGAACGATTTGTCCCAGTTCTCTATAATAAGTATGTACAAAAACTCCTTGCAAAGGGACATGCATAAAACTCTTTTTCTCTCTCTCTCTCTCGCTCTCTCTATCTCTTTCTCTTTCAGACGGATCAACGCGAGAAACGAAGAAAACCTATTCAAGAAAACAAGTGACAATGTACAAACGACAAGCGAGCAGATAAGAGAATACAACGCTGAAAAAACGAAACGAAAAGAAAAGAAATATTTTATACAAATATACTTCTGCATCTACGGGGGCCACGTCAGCCACTCATGTCCATTTCGAACATGGATTGGAAAAAGAGACTGCCTTCTCTCTCGCTCTTTTACACACACGTTTTATCTCTTTTTCTCTAACGTCGCCGAGCCACGTAGCCGCACAACAAGCAACCATACATTTGTGTACATATTTGGCGTAAACCTTTGATTCGTAGTGTTTAAACGTGTTTATTATTATTCGCTAAAAAATAGATTCGTGTAGCTCGATTCGCGTTCCTCTCGTAAGAAATCGTGCACGAGCCCTCGAGATACACGGATTCGAAATACACGGGTCGCACGGCGATTTAAAACCGATTCGAAACCGATTCCAAATCGATTCGAGACCAATCTCAAATCCTTGGATCAGCGTGCGCTTGAACGGCACTCATAATTAGAGTTGCGGTTCGAACGAGCGAAAATATATTATCTTCGGGTATGCTTTCACCTACGTAGAAAATTGGCTAGGCATCTTTCGAACACACTAGACACTGGACGCTACCGCTACCTGCGTTCTCCTCGCATCGGATCGGACAGCATTATTAAAGACTGATGTTTTCAACATTTTACGAACATTCGTTCATTCGTCGGTTAATACTCGACTACATTTGCAGAAAAAACGTATATGCCTTCTCAAGTAAATAAACGTTCGAAACAATATCGTCGTTTCTCCAAGATTCGTACAATGTTAACCAACGAGTTAATCGACGTTCATAAAACATCGAAAATCCTTTGTTTTCTGTATGCAAAATATAACTGGGATCACATGTTCAAGGTAGCTCTGGCCTATTCGGATTATCACTCTCTGCGATTCGATGCGATGATCTGTGCGTCTGACGATCATTGCGGTAAGATTCTTTCTCTTTGTTTGTTTCATTTTCACACGTGCTCGTTCTCCGATATCGGACGACGGAAGTTCGTCCCGTTGGTGAACGCGCTCGGCGGTACTGATAAAGATGGACCTATCGTCGCAAAATGTTGTTAGATGTTCGCCTTCGCGGCGCTAGCTTCGAAAGAGGCACCGTACTCCCTACGAGAAAGTTATCAAGATTTTTGGAAGATCCGGATATTAGTCGAACGGTGATCGGGCTCGTTTGAATTAACCCTCGCTCACCGAGGAGAGCGAGCTGCGCGTCGAGCCGGCCGTGTGATGCGTCAAATCCGGAAGATCCGCCGGCAAGCACAACGGTATCGCGCTTGGTCCATAAATCGCCTCCTGTTCCTCCAGCTGTAGAGCGAACTGCTCTTCCAATCTCTGAAACGTGAAATCGACACCGTTTAGAAAGCGATCGGGCATCCCGACTCGCGGGGATCAACAATTCCCCACTTTCGTCTCGCGGACCAAGTCAAACTGAATATCAAGACTGCAATTGAAAATTTCATAATGTTACTCGACTTCTACTAGATACTCGAGATATGTAGCGTAATGCCATCAACGTGGATTTATTCAACTGACCTTGTTCTCTTTACCTAGGTAGATCGTTCTCTGATTATCCACTCGTGGAATCTCTTTTTTAAGGTTCTTATCAGGAGCATGTAACGCAAGGGTGGTTGCAATGTAATCGAACGTACACATTGGAGACACTTATACATACGAGTGGAACCTGGATACGAACACGTGTAAGCGTTCAACCCCGCGGACAAATCACTACTCTTCCGATCAGTATACAAAACATAGAGCAGTTACCACAAATCTCACCACCGACTCACCCCTATTATGTTATCGGATAGTTGCACCCGGACCTCTCAACAATATTACCGAGAATGAGTATCACAATCGACAATGAGTATCCAAAGGAATGCGTAACAAAGTTGGCAAGAGCACGAACAATTTGCGACACGAAAGTGCACGCGAGGCACACGTGGTACACCGAGGTAGCGCACAATATTCAACGAGTTAATCGACGCGAACAACCACACGCTCGCCTAGCATCTCACGACGCTAAACCACCTTCGATTATCAATGAACAAGCTCCTGTTTTCTCTCAACGATACGTACACATACTCGCCGAGTTTCTAGTGCCCAAAATATACGGCCAAATGTACAATGTTATAAATTAATGAACTCTCTATAATACCACTACTGACTGCACATGTTATTCGACCATCGTGCGAATCCCCAAAACATTGATACACCTCTTCGACTGGTTTTCCTTCTTCTACTACGCTCAGTTTATAAAAAAATCTCTGAGCAATGTATTTGCGTGTAGTGTCTGCGTGTAAACGTGTATATGTATACGTGTATAATAGTAATGCGCATTAATTGTATATAATAACGAAGCAACGGTAAGTAAAGCAAACATGTTATCCTCTAATGCTTAAATACATAGAACGATACAACGGAGAAGTTTCGAAATAAAAGCTTCATTCACTAAGCAAGCTGTGGAAAACAAGAAGTTGAAACTGAAATATTGCTGTTCGACCGCATCGTAATGATCGGCCCGACAAAAAGAAAAACAGGTCGAATGGTTTTACTTGGAAACTTCTCTAGCAGGAAGAAAGGGAGTAAAGATCGACAAACAGTCGTAGGTAAGAGCACTATCTACGAGACGAGGAGGATGGTGCCAGGTCCGGTTTCGAATGACTTCGCGAAAGCATGCCATTTACGGAGCCGGTGTCCGAACTACCGATCCTCAACGATACCCTTGGAATGGTGAACGGGGAAGGGGATGCAGGGGTGGAACGGGGCAAACGCGGCGACTTCCTCCAGCCTTCGAAATGAAAGATGTTAGAAGAATAGTCTAAAGGTGGAACAGAGAGACCACTAAGACCCGAAGGGAAATAGTCTCGGTAGCGAGCTTCCAACGCGTCCAATTCAGCCGACAGCTCAGCCTCTAACTTCTATAACAAGTACATTAACACTTATTTCAGTATAGGTCGGTTCAGACGTACTCCGGTACGTGGTACCTTTACTTTTGATCTCGTAATTACCAAAAATATCAGCGCATGAAAATCTAATTTCTACGCAATAGTATGATTCGCGCTGAAATACCAGAGACAAAAAAAAAGAGAAATAAAAGAGAGAAGATATCAGGAGGGAGAAAAAGCAAAACCGTGCAAAAGAATGTGTATTGTCCCTGAAAAAAAGGTAATCATTTCGTTTACCTGTTTGCGAGGCTTCAACTGCGCCTTCCACTCCCGTAGTTCTTTACCGTACGCTTCTTCCAACTCCTTCAGCTTCAACGTTTCGTGCTCCATTAGCATTTTCCTCTTCTCGTTCTGCAACTGTTCCAGTTCTTTGATGGTGGCGTCACTCTGCGCTCTCACTTCTTCAAGTTGCCTCGAATGCTTTAATTCGAACCGCTGTTGCTCCGCCCTGTATCTCTTCTTCTCATTTTCCTGAAATTTCTTCAGCTTCTCCCGCTCGGCGTCCGGGTCCGGCGCAATTACCGCCGATATCGAGATTCTCATCGACTCCCGGAACATCATCTCGCGCGCCTTCATTTCGTTGCGGATCCGCTTCGGCAGGTTTCTGCGCTCGACCGTCTGCCGCTTGACCAGCTCCTCCTCTTTCCTCTGATTCATCCGCTTCATCTGCTCGAGCTCTTTCTCGTGGCGAATCAACATCTGATGCCTTTGTAGGAAGAAGATGTCCTTCAGTTGTTTCTTCAGCAGCTGCTGCTTCTCATGAATATGCCGTTCCTCTTGCTCCCAGATCGCCGCCTCCCGAGCCCTCATCAGCTGTTGTTTCTGCTGCAAGAATTGCCTCTCCATCAGCGCGATCTTTTCCCGATGGCTATCGGACAGTCTCCTCAGAGAGAGCTCGTGGCTTTCGTTCAGCTTGTCCAAAAAGTGTTTCTCTCTTTCCTCGTGTTCGGCCTCGAGCTTCTCCTTTCGGATCTTGAACGCGCTCTTCCGCTTGTCCTTCGGCATCAGATCCACCTCTTGCTTCAGCAGTCTGAGCTCCTGCTTGAGGCTCTCCCGGAACTGTTTCAGCTCCCTCTCCTGCTCGCTGCGGATCTTCTTCGAGGCTAGCCTGAGATCAGCCTCCTGCTGCGCTTCAGCTCGCTCAATTTGCTGCCTCTGCTGCCGGCCAAGCGTTTCCAAATCGGTTTCGGCGTTCCGCTCCAAGAGCTGGCGTTCCTGCTCGAAACGCTTCTCCTGCTGATCCTTGTTGAACTGGGCCTTCTGCGATAGGTCCTGGAACTGCTTTTGCTCCATCTTCTGCAGCATCTTCAGTTCCCTCAACTCCTGCTTCCTAAATATCTGATCATCGTAGACTTTGCCGTTCTCGTCGTCGCCATAGATCACCTTAGACGTGGTCGTCGTAACCACCACCCCGTCTATCTCAAATTTCCTAGTTCGCTTTCTTGTTTTTTTCTTCAAATTCATCATCTGTATGTCCTCCTTTGTCTTGGTCGGCCGCGGTATATCGCGAGCGTAATCGGGCTTCCGCCGTAGCACTACTTCCTCTTCCGTTTCCGGCGTCTGTCCTTGACTGATGTGGTTTTCCTTGTTCGATTCTCTGCTGTCCTGGCTGATCGTGGTCGAGATTGACTCGGCGTCCGAACGATCTATGCTCTTGCTCGGCGTGTGCGATCTCGTCGAGCCGGACTCGCTCTGCGATCTCGACCCCTCAAAGCTGTCCGGAGATATTCTTTTCTCTTTGTACATTTTGCCTGTGTCCTTCTGTCTGATCGTCTTGAGAACCTTTTCGTCGATGCGGCCACCCGCAACTGCCTTATCGGTTTTGATCAAGCCGTTCACCTTCTTCGAGTTTCGGTCCATGTCGTCGATGTCCACGTGCTCAACAGTCGTTCCAGCGACTATCATCTTCGTAATCTCATCCCCGCTATCACTCTTTGTACTCGATCTATCGAGCAAACTCTGCGAGGAGGCAGTTCGCGCTGCGCCGCGTTTGTTTAGCATGGAGGAGTCCTTCACCTGTTCCTTGTCGTCACCGACCGTCACCACGGAGACGTGACTAGTGTCCTGCAACTCGTCCACAATCGGACTTACAATCAACACCTCGGACTCATCCAGCTTCTTGCCCACCCGTTTCGAAGCGTCCGTAAGAACAATTGGCTGTTCCTGCGGCGTGTATTCCAGGCTGTCCAGGCTCGGAAATCCGTCGTCGTCGGTCGAGCTTTCATTTACTTGCGTCTTGTTCAATTCGTTCGCAACAATCACCACTTCTGAGGTTGGAGACGGTCGGCAAGAGAGAGGCGTCGGCGACACGGCGTCGACCAATACCGGAGGATGAGTAGTCACGACTGTTACCTGGCTTATGTTGCTCGCTAGGCTATTCGATAAGTCTGGACTTTCGGCCGTGATCCGGACGGTTGATGTATTTGGACGTATATCTTGGTCAGCTTTTCCTAAAAATTTTCTCAGATAGATTTAATCGAATCAAAATCCATAGACTACAAATAAAATAGAAAAGATTGTTACCGGTTATGACAACTACGTTGTCCCCGCTACCTCTTCTCGACGACGCACTTCTACTCCTAATAGGCGTCGATGTAATTACCGATACATTTATCGAAGAACCTCTTTTTTCGCCGGTGGAAGCTTCGTTCGCGACACTCTCACGAGTCAGTTCCTTGTGTAACCACTTCTTCTTCTTTTCTCGTTTCCCATCGAACTCGTCCGAAAAGTTCTCCAACGAATCGTATCTGGATGATCCTTCGCTGTGACTTTTAACGACAGACTCCACCTTGCCTGTTCCGTAATCGGTTTTAATATCCTCCGTGGAGCAAGCCTTGACGATGTTATTTTCGGACAGGATCGCACTTGGACCGGCCGTTTCTCGACGCGTCAACGTTTCCAGCGATGGAATGTTCGTGCGCATTTCGGAATCCATCGAGAATCGTTTCTCTAGAACCGCATTTAACTTCTCCTCGACCGACTTTCGCTTCTCCTGCAAGCTTTTGCGACTGTCTTCCGTTAGGGATGGTCGTTTCATCTGCACGTCAACGGGTTTTTTCTCGCCTCTGAAAATAATTGAATATCAGTATACCAAAAATATAATGCGAAAAAACCAATGCATGTAAACTATGCAATACCTGCTTCTCTCTTCTAACGAGGATTGTTTGTTGAATGCTGGCTTCGACCAATCCTCTGTCGACTCTGGTCTAACTGGAGCGGATTTTCTTTTTTCTTCCAATGGTAATTCCATTCTGGATGACTGACTCGCTTTAGCTTCGGCTATCAATTTCTGTCTCGTGTCCTTCTCCTTCTCATTACCAGCTGTTAATTTCTCAAAACTATCTTTGACGCCCTGTTTCTCGGTATCCAAGCCTGTCTCTACCATGTCGTGACTCTCTGATGACGGGTGTTTTTCTCGTTTGCTGTCCTCAGTGCTCTTACATTGGTCTAGTATCTCGATGACGCTCTGCTTATCGGAAGTCTTCAAATTATTTTCCTTATCCTCGTTTTTACTATCCTGACGCATAGGAGGTGGAGGAGGAGCAGGACCTTTCTCCCGAGATACTCTACGTTCGTTTGCTTCGCTTGTACTAGGTGGTTTAGGTGCCTAAAGAAATCATACATAAATATTACTACTAATAAATATTACTACGAACGAAATCGTAGAACGAATTAATGTAAAATATGTACTTGTTTCTTCTCAACAGACGTAGGTATGTTCTCTTTAGATTCTGCTTTCCGTAATTTCTTGTTCCTGTCCTCCTTTTCACCATCTCTGTTGATCTCTCGTTTGTGGCTCTCTTCTTTCTTCGCAGATACGGGTGATGCGGCAAGATTTTCTTTCTCAGAAACTAAACAGTCAACGATTTTCAAAGTGATCAGTTTTTCTTTCGTTAGCGTAGCTGATGTATTTACTACAAGATTGCAACTTACTCTTGACATCAGCGTCACTGCGCATAGATGCAGAGTCATCTCCGAGCTGATCCACCTCCAGAGGAAGCTGAGATGTGCGTTGCTCCTGCAATATTCGTTTACGATAGGTATTAATCATATGACGAAATACGGGGCTCTTATCGTTACTTATTTACAATGACTATATCAATGAAAAATATAGTTTTTATCCTGGAAACGATGTTGAAAGTCATGTAACGCAACAAGAACGATTACTCGCGTTCATTGACGAGTTAATAAAATACAAGAAAAAAGTTCTAAGCGATATATAAACGTGAATATGATACATTGCAAATAGCTTATGCATTGCAGTCTGAAAAGAAAACAAAGATAGCAGACAATTATAGTAATATACGTACAGAACACAATATGCATATTGAAATTAAATTAGACAGCGGTAATTGCATAAGCTACTGACCTGACAAACGCAGGGGTGATGGGGCTGGCGAGGCCCAGGAGAGCCGCATGCACAGCCAAATCATCCAAATTACAACAACATAATTATCAGGGTTTCATTAGAGTACATGTAGGGGCGAAAAATTTCAAATTCTTTTGAATTTTCAAAATCTTGATTCTATGTAATGATATGCGACTAACGAGAAGTATAAAAATAATTGAAAACGCTCATTCCTTTCAAATAAAAATTATTCTGATATATGTTGGTTTGGCAAATTAAGAGTAAAACGTAATTAAACATCGAGTATCGCATGCACGAATTCTTTCAACATTTTATTTACATCTATCATGCATGAATATGAAAAGTATAACCGTATACTTTTTATAAAATTGAAATAAAAGCACCAACACGACCCGTGAGAATACCAATTTTTCCTTGAGGTTATCAATTACTAATTACTTTGTAGCAACTAATACGTTTGTTTGTTTATTACAATTGTCATTTCATTCAAAAGCAGCTTACCGATCCGCTGATATAGTTCTTTGTGTTTTTTCGCCATTTTTGCCTTCTATCAAGATGAAAGCGTGTAACAACGTATATACATACATACATTTATATATATATACAAGTTACTAATCACAATTTGTAATCATGAAATAATTGAAAGTTGCAATTTGTATTAAACCGATTGTTAAAATTAGTTGAGAAAGAAAACACACCTCTGCTTCCTCGTCGACCAATTCCTCTTCGACGACATCGGCTTTGTACTCCAAGAGCAAATCCCTGATCGGCTTTGAATCCAAATTCCGATTAATAAACGAATGCTTCAACAGTTCATCGGCTGGAGGTCTTGATGTTGGATCTTTTATGAGAGCCTTCGCAATAAAATCATTGAAATCTTTACTCCACTTCCCAGGTTGCTCGAGTTTCGGTGGATCACTCTTTTGTATTTTTAGGAGTACCCGCATTGGTGACATTTCATGGTTTGGAGGCTCAATTTGCGCAAATTCGATTAGGGTAATCCCGAGCGACCATATATCTACCTACAATAAAATCATTTTCAATTAAAACGTTATTGAATCGTATATTATAAAGTGTATTTCTTACTTTGAAATCATAAGGATTATCCCGAAACGTTTCGCATAAGACTACTTCTGGTGCCATCCAGTAAGGTGTACCAATAAATGTATCATGTTTTTGTAACGTATGCTTATTTTTCGCAGATACGCCAAAATCAGCTGCGAAATTAAAAACTCATTAGCTCATTTTTTCAGTCTATATGTCGTTAAGAACCACAAATGTAAAATTTACCGATTTTCACTCCTCCAGCCATTGTTAACAGAACATTCCCTGCCTTCAAATCCCTGTGAATTACTTTGGATTTGTGTAAAAATGCAAGTCCTTTAGTCATGTGTTGACATATATAGGCTATTTGCGGTTCTGTTAAAGCTTTCTGTAATTCCACCATTATGGAATCAACAGCACCACCATCGCAATATTCTATCAGCATCTGTAGAATTATACAAATCATTAGATAAAGCTCAGTTTGTTGTGCAATCCAAAAACATACCCATAGTTTGCCCTCTATAAAATATGCTTCATGTAATTCGACAACATTTGGATGTTTACATTCTGATAATATGTCTATTTCAATCATGAAATCACTAAGATCGTCTTCTCCTTCAAGGGCACACATTTTTGCAGCAGCTAGCTGATTCGTTTGTTTATGCTGTGCCTAAAAAATATAAAGTGAGTATTTAATCAGAATAGTATGGACATTGCTCAATTAAAATATTTTGTAATTTACCTTATACACTTTACCAAATGCTCCATCTCCAAGTTCACCCACCATTTCCCAGAATTCTTCTGGATTACAATCCATTTTAATATTATTATATAACTTTTTTTTCTTTGCATCATTACCACCAAAGTGGAATGCTTTCTTTAAATTCGATAAGAATGACATTTTTACGATATTCTTTCAATACATTCACGTGTATAAAAACTGTACTTCTATTACATTATGTTATAAAATTCAATAGTATTACCATTAACAAGAAATATCTACTTTAATTCTGCACTTAAACATTAACTTATTTAGTGCTTGAATAATTCATTGTAACATGTAACAGTTACAAGATGTATGAAATCATCTTCTCCTTTTCTTTAAATATAGCGCATCATACTTTTTATCGTATCAATGTATTTTCTACCTCGATAGAAAATTTAAGAAAAAGATATGGTTTAAATCCCCATTCGATACCAGGGGATTATACCAAATCTCTCCCGCATCTTGACAACTTATAATCGATGTTCAGAAAATGATAGATCCATCAATATAATCGATAGCAATGTGTGCAGCAACAATCAGACCCATTATTAATTATCCCTTATTTCCACTTGAACAGACACAAGGCTGAAATAAAAAAAAATTAGTAAGAACTATTATCTTTTAGATAAAATGACATTCCACTGATAGAGAGAAGCTAAGTATTTAGCTGCTTTCTTTCAGAATAGAGTCTGTATTACTATACAAATTCCATTGATAGAGAAAACTAGGACATAGCTAACAGAACAACATTCCAACTAAAGAGACCTCTAGTTTTATACACTGTGGCATAATTTTCTTTGAAACTCGCTACAAAATTAACTCTATTACAAGTCATTTCTAATAAAAGGTAATGTTGAACAAGTACATTGTTTTGTATCTCAAAGAAAATTATTATAATAACATTTGAAATATGTATGACAGTATCTTTTTTCATATAGTCTGCTTAGTTGTGTATAAAATCATATTTGGCATATATATGCATATGTATTGTTCTTATATATTAATAGTTATTATTTATTTCCGAAAAATATCAAATTAAATTAGATTTAATCATTTCTTAAATATCAACCAAAAATATGCATACTTAATTCGATAAATGTAACGACATTGAAAGATCCATGAGCTTATTAAGAAACCTAAAAGCACAGATTGCTCTGAAAAATGTCGAAACTTGGCAGTCACGAGATTGACACAATTTTGACAAGTAATCTCGGTCGTATTTGTCCGCCATCGTTTTGTAAATACACTTTCCCCATCTTCTACGAATCAGAGAAGTATCAATGATCAAATCCGTCGTTACGAAAAACAATTGACAGGAATTGTAAACGATCTATACACTCGAAATAACGCACGAACTCATTTCAAACGCGTCGACGAAATTTTCATGAAGTCATCTTATGCAGTTTGTGATCTGCCAAAGCCGATACGATACGCGTTTCTCTTGACGAACAAGATGTGATACAACATTAAAGAGTATTCTAATTTCGATGACACGAAACGATGAAGCAAATACGTTGCCAATTATTGCCGACACAAGCATTGTGTGCGACTATTCGATGAAAAATACAATCGTTGAAAAAAATCTCTGTGGACACATCCTCTGCTCACCTTCTCTTTTAATGATCCACTGTTGGCGAAACAGGCACACTTTGTCTTGGTTTGCAACCATTGACGTTCCACTGAAAACTTTGTCTCGCACGATCTCCCGAACTATGTGTATCCGAACAAATTCCACTGTTCATCACCCAAAAATAGTCGTGGAAACGCGAAAAAAGTATGTCGAAATCAGTAAACTAGACGGACCCGTACGTACACGGCCATTTTCAGTAGCACACGCACATAACACATTGCACCGCACCACGCCTGGAAGTGACGTAACCAATCGGCAAGTGTGCCTGTGTTCTGCAAGAGGCTCTCCAGCTTAGAAACGCACAAATGCATTTTAAATGCATTTTTAGAAAAAAATCGTCCCCTCAATGCAGTACATATATGTATTTCGCAGAATACGTAGGCCGACAGCAACACGATCGTCGATGCCCATTAATGAACGCTTAGAACCAAACTATTGTCGACGAAAGCACCATTGGATCCAATCATAGTTTACGCATGCAGAAATATTTTTTGGCAAATTTATGAAAAACGTGTAATTTCATTTTTCTTTCCATAGTTCATTACATATGTACTATATCGCCAGGGCCATTTTAGACTGAAACAACGATGCTCTCCATCATGCACGTTAGAAAATCGAGTACATATTATTAAGTTACGGAATTGATTTTACGACATACTGTTACCCTTGTGGAAACCTTTCAATCGTATAATCGTATTAAGTGCTGTCGTAAAACAAAATTACATTTTACAATACAGTAAAAATTCCTTCAATTTAGTATATATTTATGCTTTAGCATGTAGCGGTAATACAGTGTAAATAATGAAATATGTACATTACTCTATGTACTCAAATTACATACGGTTACCGCTTGTGTTAGTAAAACAACTAAACAAGACGCAAATTAAAAAACGTGCGAAAAGAAGTGATACACTTCATTTTGGAAAGCAATCGAATTTAAAAGATAATTCGCAATAATTGAAAGAATTATTGCAAACTTGAAATATGTAATAATTTAACTTTTCTCGATCAGTATAACCAATATAACAAACATAGATCACTAGTTTTCAAAGCAGTGACAACGTGACCACGATTCGCTCCCAACTAGTTCCATGGGAAACTATCACGGTATAGTTTGTGGTCACGTCACTATCCTGTGACCCTGTGAGTATAGCACACTCAGGTACACTATATGTAGTGTATAATCCAATGATGTCCACATTGTTCACAGCTTAGACCGCAATCCGCGTGTCTACATGTGTCCACGGAAGACAAAACGAGGAAAAGATAAATCGGCCCTATCTTGCCGATTTCCTCTTCCAAGCAAACAATACGATTGCAAGTTTCTCCGCAGCCATAGCACCAGATCGTTCGTAAAGAACATAGCGCGCGAAATTACAAAAGCGACTAAAGCATACGCGACCAATAACGAGCTAATGAACATAATTCCATATTAAATTTAATTTTTTAATTTCTTCTCAGAATTGTCACTTAAAAATTTAAGATCTAGAAAAAATTTTATAAAATAGAGCAAAAATTAGCACGGAAGCTGATTGTTCCGAATACTGCAATGGAAATAAAAAATCACAGAGACAAGCTATTGAAAGATTTAGGCTATTAGAAGTAGTATGAGACATGGGGATTTGTAGAAAAGAAGAAAATAGTATTAATTAAAAATACTATAGTTTAAACAATACGCGATAAAGTGCCTGCTGAGGGGGCATTTACTTCCCGTGGACATAACTGAATTATGAAAAAATTAAAGTATATGAAAGTAAACCAAGGGTACAAAATTGTTCACGAGAATGTACTGTATCAATATCGTATACAAAAAACAAGTGACAATACTGCAAAAGATAATTGTAATTGCTCTTTGAAGTTTAATTAACTATTATATTAATCAGTTATATTTTGTATTGTTGCTATTTGGTTTTCTTACGTGATATGGATGTAGCAGATTTTTCTGAACAGTTCTAGGTCCTCGGTTTATGGATTGATTGCTTAATTTTGGCATAATTAAAGTTTTTAAGCTACCCTGCATTGCGCATACGTGGGCGATTGTGATACTCCTGGTGGAGAAAAAATAAAGCTTCGATCGGGATCCGTACAGCGCCAATTGGGATAGTGGCAAAACGCTCAAACTGATAGCCAAATTACAGGCAATCGTTTTACCTAACAGTTCAGTGTTTTGCCATTACAACACGAAACAGATGACAAATATTACACTATTTTAAGGAAAACAAGAAAGTTTTTCCAACTTATAATTAATTAACACGTATACAGATATATGTTCTTAGTGCAAATAAAGTGAAACTTGTAAATGATATCGTTTATAATCTCGTATATGATAATCGTTTGAAATCTTCATTCTTTTTAGTTATCTAACCTAAAATGTGAGTGTTTATAGGATACTCAGTTGTCTTTTCAGAAAATATAAATAAAAATTTAGCGTAAATATCATATCAATTAATTGTAGTTTTAATTGTTTTAGTTTCTCCATTTTTAATACAATAACAAAATGTCTGGAAAAGAGCGAGGCGTGTTTCGACTAATTTGGAAACATTTTTTCGCTTCTATAAAACCCAATTTTAAGCGTCCTAAATTGGTAGGAGAGGATTATTATGGTACTAAATATTACGAATCACAAACTCGTACCGATTGGTTGAAAAAAAGAACTTCTCGTTCCTTCAAACCAGTAAATGATTTTGATCAAGAAATGCCTGCAGAATGGGAAGCTTGGTTAAGACATCGTAGAGTAGAGCCACCAACGTCAGAAGAAATAGAGAGAAATTATATGATAGCAATGAGTAAAAAAGAAAAAGCAGCAGAAATAGAAGCAAAGTTTGGAAATGCTAAATCAGAAAAACCTCAGACGTTAATTGATAGTAACAAAAAAAAAAAGTTCCCAAAATACGATGAATACAAAAGCTAAATAAAACCATAAAATACTGGAAAGCCTGTACTGAATGCCTGTATATATTACAGTTCTTTAATGAAATTGGACAATAATTAAAGTCAATGAACTATGTAGTAAATATGTACAAATTTTATTATAACATATGCTTGTAATATGATGTATAATTTATGTATTTATTGTTTGTGTGAAGTATAGTCTATATGTAAAACAATTTATTATATCCTACGTTTCTATACATATACATTTAGGTATTTTGTTTTGTATATCATCGATCGCATCTTCAATAAATCGACATAATGAAAAACCGGTACTGAAACTATGTATGTATGTGGAATATCCTCTTCTCACAGAACTTCAGTAGTATCATGCATTTAATATGTTTTCAGAAGATTCTCTTCAATGTAATAAAACAGTGACTTCTACATATAGTAGAAAATTAATGAAATTTCGAATATCGTGCCAATTTTGAACTTAGATTCTGTGATACAAAAATTGAATACTAAGCCTGCTTTGTTTGTTCTCAATGAAGAGATTTGATACTGATTCCTGGAGTTTGTGAGAAGTATGTGGTACTTCGCGTGTATTGAAGTACGAAACATCAGTCAACAGCAGATATAAATTCTTTCAATTGAAAGAAATTAAAACAGTCCAATACACGAAAAACGTAAGCTTTTCGATCAACCTGAAAAATCGCTGTTATCAAATAGAGCCTGATCGTACAATTCTCCTTTCACTAATCGTCCACCAAAATAGCGACCATTTAAAGAATCCCTTGCACGTTCCGCTTCTGAAATGTTCATTAATTAGGTATAATAGAACCGAATGAAAAAATCAAATAGCACTGAAAAGAAAAAAGTACACAGTACAAGAATAAATCAACTTACCACTCATTTGAGAGAATTCGACGAAAATTTTCACAATAACTTCTGCGTCTTCGTCGTCTTCAGACTGTCGCTCATTATAAATAATAACTCTTTCCACAACACCGAATTTGGAACATTCGTCTTGGATTTCTTCTTGTAAACTTTCGTCTACGTCTTCTGGTGCTACCATATTTCTTAAAATTACTACTCGCGATTCAACTTTACGCATAAGCTTTTGCATGACAAGATGACGAGCACTTTGTCCTTTGATTGACATATTTTCCTGTTGTTGCAACGTTTGCGGTTCCGTTTCCTCCAACAATTTTTTCTGTAGTTCTTCTTGCTGTTTTTGATGAGCCGCTTGTTCTTGGGCTCGCCTCATTATATCGGAATTTGTGGTAGTCGTAACTGGTATCTAATGATTATGATAATTTATATTGTTTTCAAATAACAATATTATGCAAATAGGACTGGAATAATAAAGTACTTACAACCGGAGTACCCACTATGGTCGGGGCAACGACCGCTGGAGGCGGTATGACAACCGGTTGGCCAGGTATCGGTTGAATAATTGCTGGTGGTCTAGTTAGAGCCTGTGGTATAGCTATTCCAGGTGGAGGAATGACTGGTGCTACTGTTGCTATAGTTGGCGGCGCCATCATTGTGGTAGGAGCAAGAGTGGGTCTCACTATACCAGGCAAAGCTGTATACAGAAATGGGTATCAATCATCAAGAGATATCAAGGTCACAAACGTAGATGTTTCTTATTTCTAATGTTTTCTTTTATAATATCTATATACCTTGATTCAGAATCGGGGGAGCAGCAGCTCCAAGTTTAGTTAATCCTAGAGCAACCGCGTTACTGGCCACTGCATCCATTGCTTGAATCTTGGCAGTTGCAGCTGCTGCTGCTACTGCCGCTGCAGTAGGCATCATACTCGTTCCGCTTGGTGGTCCCATAAGAGCATTCGGTGGTGTGATAGCTCTACCTACTCGCAAGTACTGACCACCAAGATCAAACAGATTCATCGATGCAATAGCCTCTAAAGCAGCCTGCATCGTTTCGTACTCGATGAAACCGTATCCTTTGTGACGGTGAGGTGAACTACCTTGCGCTAGTTTGCAATAGGTAATAGGACCAAAAGCTTCAAATACAGATTTAATATCATCTTCGGTAAGGTCTTGATGAATCGATGCGATGTAAATACGATTATAATGTTTACTTTCTTCAGTAATTTCATCTATGACTGATTGAGCCTGAGGCATATTTGACGGTCGTCCTACAACCTGAAAGAAGGTATAACAATTAATAAAATATGCTTCTGGCGTTGAAAAAGTATACGTAATTTCAATTATAGAATTAAATACACCGAAAAAAGGAATGAAATGGTAGGAAGGAACTAACTACAAAGAAAACGTGTTACACATTATTGATTGGACAACTTTATAGACAAAAAATGTACTTCAAAAGTACCATAAAAATTAAGTAGCAGTGTAAAAATTGAAAGATCTACGGCAAGATTTTTGTTAAGATTTTTAAGAATAAAATCAAGAAGAATTTTGATCGAAGTGCAATCTTATAAATGATGCAATTCAATCAAAAGGGATATTATATTGGATAAAACTAAATAAAAATTTGCCGACCTCCGGCGGGATGATAGGATTGCTGGGGGACAGGAAATTCGTTATATAGGTACGTCCCGCTACCTTGATGTTACGTCCACCAATCATGACACCATTCATCTGTTCCAAAGCAAGTTGTGCTGCTTCAGGTATCTCGTATTCGACGAATGCAAATCCTTTGTGCTTCTGGGTTACAGGATCCCATGACATGTTGATTGATTTTATAGGACCAAAAGGCAAGAAGGCTTGCCTAATCGTGTCCTCTTTCAATTCGAAACTGATGCTGCCCACGTATACCCTGTCGTACAGGAATTTAATTTCAGTCGACAATTTCCCGCAATTATTAGACCGATTTCTTCGTTGTTTTAATTCTAACGATTAGCAAAATATCTTCTACTCTCTCCTATTACTAATCACTAACAGAATAAAACATTTATTCGTGTGAATAAAAGACTCCGCCGTGTACAAGAAGATTTTTCCAGTACGATAAAATTCTAGCGCTCAAAAAAATTGTAAAGAATACGCGATTACGATCCAAATTAATTGAACAACTAACGTAACCCAATTAAAATGACAATAAATAGAAAAGTTAAAAATGAAGTTGGATCGAAAATGCTGAGTCTCAAGGTCGAAATTTGGAGGGCTAAGACAAAGAACAAACAAACCTGCACATGAGGGCGAGAGCCTGCTGTCTCTGCACCTGATTCCGTTGACTAGCCATTTGCTGTAACACAAAGGACCATAGGCCTTCTATTGATATCCCTCCCCCTTACATACACCAGTCTCGTTCATCTCAAAAATCCCCCAAGCTCTTTTACCATTCCACCTTCTTTGCTCAACCAGACTTTCCTTCATTTTAGATTCTTTATCTTTACCGAGACAATTTATGATCAAATGTACTACTACTGTGAATACAAAGAAAGTGAGTCAGCCTCGTAAACTATAGTTACAAGTATAATATAATATACTAGATAACATGAAAAGCAAGAAAGGTTGAGCTCAGAAGTACAAATATCGATATTTTTCTCAAATCGTCCAGAGATTCATGCACAAAAACTTGTCCTCCTTCGCGCTGGTACAGCTCTGCTCCCGCCGACTATTATTTCAAGATATCTAACCTTCTCTTACAGTAGTAACTCAGGGAAACGTTTAGGAGTGTTTGATCGTAAGGCGGTTTCATATTGTTTCTGTCTTGATTTGGTTGACACTAACCTGCACATTAGCAATAAAACTTGCTGCCGCAGGACCAACTTATTCTTCTGCGGGGAGAAAAAATCAACCGATCAGAGTTAGGTTCCAGTGTTCGTTCTTTTTTTTTAAATTTCTGTTATATTTTTGTCACTTTACTCGCTCGTCATAACGAACACAGGATTAAACTATTTATGCAAGTACTTAAAATTACTCGGCGGGGCGAGCTAAATTGTAAGGACAAACGTTAATTTAAACTATTATATGCATATTTGTGATTATCTTTTTTTTCTCTTTTCTTTTTTTGGTATTATTGGCAAAGAGCTAAATAGAGGAAGCAACATATAGAATACGTTTTTCATAAATGATACTTTTTGAGATAAAAAAGAACCCCAAAATTGTAATGTATAATTTCATAGAAGTATACATTAATTCCATTGTGCATTGTTTAATATTTAACATTCGATTACCAAATCATTAAAACTTTGGTAACATTCATTTTATGGTTTTCACTCAATGAAACGATATATATATAGAGAGAGAGAGAGTTCATACATGTTTAATGTGTAGATAATAACAAGGATATAGGATATCCATCATGCAACAGATAATTCTCAAGATAGAAATTTATGAATGTACAATGGAATGTAAAATGTATGTTAGGCGAGTAAAGTTTGTTAGCTTTATGCTTGAAAATTACCTGTTGTTGATGCGCCAAAGTTTGTTTCATTAAAACCATTTTGATGCTTTGTTCCATGGCATATTTCTTTGCTCTATTTACTGTATCCTGCTGTTCAGAAGTAACTTTTGGAAGACCTGCACCTAGAATGCCAGGTAATGTAAGATACTTAGCTCCAGGTCCTGCAACAAAGACAAGACAGTACTTCAAAATGTTGTCTCGTGTTAATTAGAGAGGATTACATGATCAATGTCTTATCAGATCTTATCAGCTACTTGTCCATTAGATCTTTATCAAACTTCAATAATACTTAAATTGAAGTGATTACAATTCAATTGTCACAATTATGTTTTACATCATTTCAAATTCGTTGTAAACGAAGTACGATATTATAATTATCCTTACCAGCAACAACTTGTCCAATTTGATTAAGATCATACAGAGGGCCTGGCAAGAACTCTGATGCATTTCCTACGAAGAAAGTTAGTATTAGATACAATTGCAACATTAAAATTGGTATCATTTAGTATCTCCACCAAGTATTTATCTTTTGTAATAGATGAGAGATACTGAAATGACAATTTTTTTTTAGGGAATACAATTTTTGTTTCTCAACTTTCTTTTATATAACTTTTATTAGGATTGAACAGAATTTCGAATATTCGCGATACTAGTGTGAAATTAAAAAGATCGTTGCTGTGCAATATAAAGTAGAATCATATGAAACATAATTTTTTATGAAGTGACACAGCAATTTCGAAACTTAAAATGAGATGAATAAAGTAACGACGTCGTGCAGCAGTTCCCACGGTAGAACCGTCCTCCGAACTGTAAGTTCAAAGAAATTAAAATAGTCAGGAATATTATTACATTTTAATAATTAATACAAGGTACTATGTATAAAGTGCATTATACATAGTACGTGTATGTGTATACGCATCAAGGAAAAGGGGGAATTTCCTTCTTTTCTTGCACACCATTATCGTGAAATCATTTGATATACTTAGTACAAGAAATAACGATTAAGAATTTCGTTTAAAATAATTTCAATGAAAATTTTAAAGAGATTTCTGCAATCGACTGCATTAACATCTTTCGTTTAAACTTCGTTACTGTTTATATTATTAGCCTCAACGAAATCAGACTACCGATAACTAGATTAGGTTTCATACGATCATAACCAATTTGGTCTGCTAGTCTCTGAAACAGAAATCAGAACACGTTGAAACGCTTGTTTTTCTCTTTTACGACTTTTGCAGTTTCACGAATTGTTATATTGTTAACTTTGTTCGATCATTTGATTAACGGCTAACCGTGTTCTGGGCTGAGCAATGATGGTTGTGCGCAAACTATCCGAGATTGAGGCGACGCACAAATCTGTAAGCACAAAGCAAAGGAGAATACTCTCAGTGCATTTTCTGCGCCATTTTTTTACAGTTTGCCTTTTCCAACCTACCACGCAATTAGCCCTAACACTTTCTATGCAGCAATGGCGATCCTAATTGACAAGAAATCGAACGCGATTGATCGTCGAAAAGGCGCGTATATTTTCTCGTGCTGTACGCCCTTCTGCAATAATTTCCTGTTACATCACAATGGGCTGATCTTCTTTAGCAAAAAATCTCTTACCTCGTACTTATATGATAGAAACGCAAGCACAATGAATTTCATTTGAGAATATCTTGAAAAATACACATCGCCATTGCCTATCCTATTTATAAGCCTCCTTTGAGATTGATAATATTTTCAAAATTACAGAATAAATTTAGAAACTTGCAAAAATTTATAAACAACTTGAGTTAATAATCAACAAAAGAATATCTACATAAATCAAGGCTTATAATTAGGATGGAAGAAGACTACCCTAAAATGCTGACCTATCTAAAATACGCATCGTATTTGGTACTCGACAATAGATGCTGTGTCAGTGGAGTTTGCAAAACTCAGATTTGTTCTGTTCAACGAATGTAGCGTTCTCTTTCTTTGTTTGGCGCACGCTCATGATCACAGCTCAGTCGTAGGCCACAGATTCTGTACTGTCTCTCCGCTGTAACATCTCAGAACAGAAGGACAACCATACATTAGTTTTATTGAGGGCCAACGATCACCTATTACCCTAGCCTACCAAAATATATTCTGAAACTGCGATAGACCTCTCAACGCTTAGAGTTTGCCAGCAGTTTAATAGAAAGCTAGCATCTGATTGTCCTAAGTAAATAGTATATGTTTCTCTTCATCATTTCCTTTGTTTAAAATTATATTATGCTTGTTGTTGCTTCTGTGTTCACCATCTTTTTCCACTTGTATGCTTAACCGTACGATTTATTAGCGATTAGGGGGGATACAATTATTTGGATGCATTAGCAATGTACCTTCAACTCTAGGTTTCTTGCTCGGTGGTTCTGCATTGTTCTGGGACGTTGGAGCCTGTAAAATATATATTAATTCATTCAGTTCATATTAGTAATTAAAGGTACATCTTAGTTTATTAAGCTACTGTAATTTTTGTCAGATGTTATTACTAAACATTTTAACTGGCAGCAGTTAATTAATAATCCTTAAACAATTGATTATTAACAGCTATGAATTTCTCAATCAATTTTCCTGTGGTATTAACATTTAATTGAAAAGTTTCAAATAAAACAATCACACGTTTTTAAAAAAACTGTTAATATTAAGCTCTTCATTTACAAAATGCTTCTCACAAGAGAACGTATCAAACTGCATGGTAAAGTCAATAACATTATTGATTGACTTATATGTAATATTACGTGCACACGTTTCTCATTAATTACTTATTTATATATCGTTGAGTATGATAAAAAGAATATTTCTGTTCTGTGTTTGTGATCTAATAAATCATACGAGTATTAATCGTTTAAATACGTTACAGGCAATTTACAACCGCCATCATGAACCGTATAGTTTGTTACTTTGAACAATCCAATATTTTTCGCAGAAGTAATGAGAAAAGTTGACTTACCATTGACATCGCGCCGTTCATTATTCCCTGCGATCCAATAAAACAGAGACAATAGTTTTGAAATATTCTTTGTCACAGAAATCTGAACCGTTTCGCGACAGGTAACTTACATCCGAAGCGATCCGAAGCTTGTCTTCACGGAAGTGCTGCGAGCACTTCCACATAACGGTACCACAGAGTACTTGAGTCAAGTACTCTCTGACGTTACAGTCGTCCAGTTCGTCGTACCTGTACATCGACCACTTAAATAAATATTAATTATATACGTCACTTTTAACTTTAAATATTTATGTAACTACTTCCGCAGAATTTTAGATTAATTTTTCGCGTTGATAATGCGTTACTTTTTTACTTCCATCGAACTTTTCTGCTTTATTTTGACTATGGTAGTATGATAATGATACATAATAATGATAGGCATAGGCAAAAAATACATGTTTGATGGTTAGAGCACTACACGCTTGTAAATGAATTTTATTATTGTATCGTTTTTTATTAAAGAAATTCAGTAACAATGAATTCCAATAATTATGAAGTTAAAGTAATTAATGAAGAAAAGGTAGAATATATTAATAGATTACATCCTTGGATTTTTAAGTCACGTTTCACTAAAAACTGTACTTGTTACTAATTCCTATAAAATTTGATATACTTATATATACTTTCAATAAGATATTTTTTGCAATTATGTAATTACGTTACAGGGAAAAGGACTTTTTGCAATTTGTCCTCTTAAAGATGGGGATACAATTTTGATGGAGAAACCTATAGTCTGTTGTCAATTCTCTTGGAATTTAGAGTATGGATATTTAGCTTGCGACAATTGCTTAAGACCTTTAGAAACTGCTGAAGAAAATGTACATAGATTAACTGGAAATTCAACAATTATTTTACCTCATGTAGAATGTTGTGAAACAAAAAAAGAATTAATCACAGAATGTTCTGAATGTGGTACAAAATATTGCAGTATTGAATGTCAAAATGAAGCCTACACAAGGTATTATATACAATGACAATAAGTGTTTTCAGGAATAATCAAATTATTTAACATAATTGCAGATATCACTGTACATTATGTCTACATTCAAGAGAGAAAGATGAATCACATCCCTTTGTGCAATTAAATGAGACTTGGAAGCAAATGCATTATCCACCGGAATCAGGAACAATAATGTTACCAGCTAGAATGGTAGCTATAGTTAACCAAGCTGATAACAAAGAGGAAGTCCTTTCTACATTTTCACAATTTTGTCATTGTGCAATCAATGAAGTACATGAAATTACACACAAGCTATTAGAGGAAAAATTTATTGGTCAGATCGATGTACTTAGAGAAACAATGCAGAAAGCCCTGGATACAAAATTTACATCTAATGTATGCCATGAAAATATAAATACATCTAAAATCTATTACATTGCAATAGCCATTGCATGAATTTTAATTTGCAGTGGTTTACGCCAAACGGGTTTAGGAGTTTATTAGCCCTCATAGGTACAAATGGACAAGGAATCGGTACTAGCGCATTTAGTGTATGGGTCAAAAATGTGTCTGCATTAGATCTACCAAGAGATGAAAGAATATACGTGGATAAATTAATAGATCGCATTTACTCCGAAATGGATGAAGGTAAATAGTTTTGAAAAAATTTTATTCAATCGAAATTCTGTAATAAGAACCTTTTAATATACTTTAATGTTTAATGTACTGTTTTTATATTTTTAGCTGTAGGTGTTTTTCTAAATAACGAAGGTTCTGGTCTATATGTTCTTCAATCAGCGGTAAATCATAGCTGTGTACCAAACGCAATTGTAGAATTTCCTTACTCGAATAATGTATTAGTTTTAAAAGCAATTCGCGATATTCAACCTGAAGAGGAAATATGTATAAGTTACCTTGACGAGTGTGATCTAGAAAGAAGTAGATACTCTAGACAAGAAGCTTTACGCTCTTTGTATTTATTTGTTTGTCGTTGCGATAAATGTTTGTCGCAAGCTAACGATCCAGATGTCACATCAGAAGATGAATTAGACGATGACATGTCGAGTTAAACTGGACAAATGCTTCATTCACCTATATTACATTAATATAATATAATATTACAAGTAATAAAAGTACACAATTTTTATATATTATGTATTTTTATTTGCAAATTGTTGTCTACTTACAAGCATGTATAAACAAATTATGCACAATTGATTTTTTATTTTCCTTAAATTTTTTTATTAAACCAAGTTTGTAATTAAAGTATTAACATTACATGTCATTTAAACATAAAATAATTAATTATTCGATATAGTCAATTATTTGAAATTGTCAATTATTCGAAATCGTCAATTATTCGAAATCGTCACTTCATTTTTACCTAAAGTCATAAGATTTGATATATAATGTGGTACAGGTGTAGTTATTATTCGCTTTTCTATTAATTTTGTTAAAAAGGCAGCAACATTAGGACTACGATACTCGCAACTGAAATACGTATAATTTACGTTTACTTGGTATAAGGATGTTAAAAATATGTAATAATTTTATGAAAAATATTACTAACGTAATACTCAAAGTTTCATTTGACAATTCCGTGGATTCATCTTCGTCCATAAGAATCCTACTTGTTGCATTTACAACAAAAACTTCTATAATAGCAGGATCATCACCAAAACATTCTTCTGCATATCTTTTGCGCTGTTTATGTTCAGTAAAATCTATACCAGTAGATCTAAAAAAAATATATGAGAGTAATAGGATTATTACTACATATAATAAACAAAATTATATGCTTCCTACAGGTTTTTGAAATAGAAATTACTTTCTCTCTGGACCAGAATTATTATACTCCACAATTTTACTCATTTTTTCTGAATTTTGTACTCCTTTCTTTCTGTTCATACACATTTTGCTCAGTGATTTTAAATCTTTACCCATCAATTTAATTTGTTTACTTTTCTCATATCCCATGCTTGCTGCTATTGCTTGTAAAACATTTGGAGAAACACTCTTTCTGTTAACGAAAAAATATTTTTCGCCCGTAAATACAGCAAAAATAAGAGGGAGTCCAAGCCCAGTCTTTAACTTCTTGCTTTTATGTTTTCGTTGGTTCAGAGAAATATATGTAATGTTATTATGCATATACATTTTTACATCTATTTTTAAATTTAATGAAATAAAATAATCTTTTAGTTTCGCTTGAACTTTGCTATGCAGGAAGTAATCCTTAGACTGTGCAGAACCTTTTAATAAATAACTGTACCATATTTTCCGATTATTGTGCCAACTTATATCTGAAATGTTTAACTATTAATAACAATAGATAAACGATTAAGAGGTGTAATTAAAAATTATATATTACCAACTAATTTTAACATTGACAGACGGTCTTCTAAGTCTTTTCTGTTTATGCTGTTATTCTATTGCAAAGACACAGAAATATATACTTAAATATTCATTACATACAATGTATATATGTTAATAAATTTGAATACAATTCTTACAGTTATAGCTATCTTGATCAATTGAGTTGCATTCACCGAAGTAAACCTGTTGTGATATTTAACTAACTCAGACTTTATATTATCCCAAGAAATTTCAGGAAAAATAGGCATTACTGCCGATTCTAATTCTTCGAATTTGAATTTCTTAATAATTTTAACTATTTCTCCTTCCATGGCTAAAACTGATGTCAAAATATCTCAAAATCTCGATTACATATTATGGTGCAGGTTCAATGTTTACATATCACACGTCAATATAACCTGTTTGCGGGAAGAATAATAACCCGTTGTGCACAAATTAAATAATACTTACATAGCTGTGCAATTTTAATATAACATCAATATTAATACTTATAACGCATGTTAAATCTTAACAAGCAACTATGTTGAATACGTATACATATTACAAGTCGAGTGACAATCATTAAGAAATTCGCGCTATTCGCGCCTAAACTGGCGAATGGTAATTCTCTTTGTACAATCTATTGTAGTGTAGGTAATATGCATATGTAGTACCATATAGTTCCATGCATTTCCATACAAAGTAATAAAACTCAACTTTTACTTATCGGTAATGACGAATGCTGATCTATGAGAATGATTGCACATTTAAACGCATTCTACATATATTTGTTTTAGTCGAAGCTTGTTCGAAAATTCCCTTTTAGGCGAAGATATAAGATGAATGCGATAGAGGCAGAGTTATGATTTCGTAGATATTTATCGATATGTTAAGGTACACATTTATTGAGAATCAATAAATATTAGAAGGAAATACATCTGAGTTTAACAGATAATAAGTATTGTACATATAAAGATTTTAATTGTAGATAAACTGTTCTTAATATTGATAAAAATATCGTAATTCCTTTGGGAGAGGAATTAATAGTAGTTTGACTCATACACGTCACTACTTCGTGCACATACATATAGCGATATAACGGAAGGTGAATGTATGCATATCCGAATTTGAGTAATGTCCTCCCCACTTTCACAGGGTAAGATGCGATAGCATGCTCAACGAATAACGGTGAGATGTCGGTGTGATGTAGATGTAATCGAAGCAATACGCAGGCGCAATACGAGAATCCGAGATTATAAATAGACCACTAACTAACGACAGTGTGAAGTTGTCACGGTGCACTTGTCGCATGATGGCGCAACATGTTGACCGTTCAGGCACACCGGCAGCTCTTTTATTACTTGTTTTTACAATATTCAATCTAGTATACGCCAACGCATTTATAGGAGTGAAAGTAATCGGTAGTCAAAATGTGAAATCAGTGAATATTTTAGACAGGGAACGATCTGATACACGGAAATACTCGTCGAACAGTTCCGATTTCCTTGTCGAAGTTCTTGGCACCGGTCTCGAGAGCAACATTTCTTTGTGCTGGTCTCCCACACCCGACAATTGTGATCCAAACCTGAACAACACATTACGCGCTGTCTGGATCGCGCCGAATGGCAATCGTGCGGTGTATAAATTTGACCAAGTTCCTACTTTTAAGGTTACCACGATCTATTTCTGTCTAAGAATCGTCACCAGGTTCGGTGAAACATGGACCAATCTTGGAAGCAACTTTGCTATCACTTCACCGTCACGATCGGTGTAAGTTTTTAATAATCTATTATTTATCTTTTACTGAACGTTGTTGGAGAAATTGCTCTTCCTTTACTAATAATAGATATCCGTCTTATGACATGGCACAATTTTTTAAGTATATGAAAATACCGATATTACCGACGGCAAGGATTTTATCCTAGTCTATTACAATTTCATATTATACATTCAATGTTCGGCAATTTTATAATATTGTATGATAGCAAGGAAACTTGTTCTATGTATGTTTTATCATGCTACATAAATATGGAAACATAGAAATATTGGAAATTATATTTAGCATTCATATGAAATTCTAAAGCAAAGTAAACAAGTTTGATTGCAATGAAAGTATTGCAATGAATGTATTTGTATCCTCATCTCATTGGAGACTAGAAACCTTGACCTAAATAACTATACTCGATGAATAAAATAAAACTAGATTTATTTTAAATAAAAAATAACCAATGAATGCGTTAACTAAACAGGAGTAAAGCATATTTTATGATTTATTGCAAAATTGTGTTTTGTTTTTAGGAAACATTATCGTGCACGTCGTCAACAGTTTTTACCTTCTGTTAATGCTGATCATGAAGAACCCTATATAGTACCAGTAATTCAAGGAATAAGAATAGAAACAGCTGATAAGGATCCTAGTTACAGAGCAGATGGGATTCCAGAAATATTAGCTGGGAGCAGAGCTGTTATAAGACTATTTGGTATTGGTATCACAGAAGATATATTAGTCACTTTTACGGATGAACCAGCAAAATGGGGTGCTATTTGTGATAAAATCAAAAGCAATGAATTCCCGGTAAATATTTATCAATGCTACTTACTGGTTTATCCTATTTATATGTACATAAGGCTTTGTTTTTATTAATGCAGGTAAGAAATGTAAATAATAATACTGCAACTGTAGATGTGGTATTGCCACTTGGTTCACCATTTTATGTATGTATAAAACAACCAGTATACGGAAGGGATGCTTCGGATCTTGCACTTTTCAAACATCAAGGTACACATACATGGGGCACTGTAAGTATATGTATATATTATAAGATGAAGGTACTATTGAACAATAATTATATTGTGTTAAACATATTTATTGGTAACTATTATTTACAGATTTATACGTATGAAAAATTTTTACCACTTTGGCTTAGTATTGTAATTATCCTCATGTGTCTTAGTTTTTCTGCTCTGTTTTCTGGTTTGAATTTGGGATTAATGGCAATGGATAGAACTGAACTAAAAATACTCTGTAACACTGGAACTGAAAAGGTGCTTCTATTTACCCCATTCTACTATTCTACTATCTTATTTTATGCTATGACTTTGTCAAAATAAAGTAATTCGTTTTAAAGGAAAAACAATATGCAAGGACTATACAACCAGTAAGGAATCATGGGAATTATTTGTTATGCTCAATTTTATTCTCAAATGTTCTGGTGAATTCGATATTCACTATTTTGCTAGATGATTTGACATCTGGATTAGTTGCAGTCATTTGCTCCACCTTAGCTATTGTAATTTTTGGTGAAATTTCGCCACAAGTATGTATACATTTTTTATTTTATTCCTCAATGAATTACATGTTTAGGAGAAAGAATCACGCATTGCACAGTTGCATTATAAACGTATGCTTTCAGGCTATTTGCAGTAGACACGGATTATGTATAGGAGCTAAAACAATTTATATAACAAAACTGACTATGATAATAACATTTCCATTGAGTTATCCTATCAGCAAGCTTCTAGATGTTCTTCTGGGTGAAGAAATTGGCAATGTGTATAATCGTGAACGGTTGAAGGAATTAGTAAGGGTGAGAAAAAAAGACTTCATTATAGATACATTAGATTATTCTTACAATACGTACTTAATATAGTTTTCTCTGATTGTAATTTGAAGTATACATTATCAAACACCTTTCCAAACTTTTTACTCTTATGGATCTTATCAGAATGAGCATGGATAGGGCAGATAATTATACTGACAACCAAATTCAATCATATGTAGGTAAGATATAGATCTACTGACGTTTGCTTGAAGTTTTCACATTCTACAGAGTACATGTTAGATTACTTATCAATGTGAAACTTAAATAAGATAACTTTACATATTTATACTGTGCTAATTCAAGCTGAACTTATCGTAAAAATATACTTCTATACGATACACGTATCTGTATACGTACGTGTATGTATGCGAGTACGAAAAAAATGTAAGTCGTGTAATTAATATCCCGAACCCTTTTCCGAGTGCTCTACTTATTTAATGTAAAAACACTGTTAAAGATTTGATATCGATTCACGTGTGATCGTAACTATGTCAATAACAATTACTTTTAGGTCACAACAGGCTATAATGATTTAGAAAAAGACGAAGTGAACATAATCGCTGGTGCATTAGAATTACGGAAAAAATCTGTTGCGGATGTAATGACAAAAATCGAGGATGTATACATGTTAAATTACAATGCGATTTTAGATTTTGAAACGGTATCGGAGATTATGAAGTCTGGTATGCATTTATATAAATCATTTGTATCAACATTTAAATTAATATTCATAGTATTTATCGATCATTTTAGGTTTCTCACGGATACCAGTATTTGAAGGAACAAGGACGAACATAGTAACAATGCTTTATATTAAAGATCTTGCGTTTGTTGATCCAGATGATAATATGCCACTTAAAACCTTGTGTCAGTTTTATAAAAATCAATGTAATTTTATTTTCGAAGATGTTACGTTGGACATAATGTTCAAGCAATTTAAAGAAGGTAAATATCTTAAATAGAATAATGTACTTGTTAGAAGCGGACGGGCAATAAAATTATACGTTTCATGTCAGGTAATAAAGGACATATGGCGTTCGTTCAAAGAGTAAATAACGAAGGCGAAGGAGATCCGTTTTACGAGGTGATAGGATTAGTTACATTGGAGGATGTCATAGAAGAACTGATTCAAGCCGAGATCATGGATGAAACTGACGTCTTCAGTAAGATTCTTCGATTTGTTTATTAATGCATAGATAGATTTTCGATGGAATTATCATTAAATCTCATTTTCCACAGCGGATAACAGAACTAAACGTAGAAGGCAAGCTAAGCATAAAGTACAAGACTTTACCGTGTTCGCGGAGAAGAAAGAGAACCAACGAATTCATATATCACCGCAGTTGACACTGGCCATGTTTCAGTATTTATCCACAAGTAGGAAGAAGTGTTTTGATTTAAGAAAATATGAGATTTATATAAAAATCTGTTAGACTACTCTTAAGATACATCTGAGTGTAATATATAATTCACAGCTGTAGATGCATTTAAATCCGATACAATATCGGAAACTATTTTGCGTCGTTTGCTTAAACAAGACATTATTTATCATATCAAAGTGAAATCGCGCGAAAAAGCGAGACACGATCCGGCAGCAGTAATTTACCAACAAGGAAAAGCAGTCGACTATTTTGTTTTGATTTTGGAAGGTCGAGTTGAAGTTACAGTCGGCAAGGAGAATATGATGTTCGAAAGTGGTCCATTCACATATTTTGGTTCTCAAGCGCTTACTGTGAATATAGGAGTTGGTAAGACTTCAAGTTATTATTGTTTTCTTTATGTTTCAAGATTAGCAATTGCTTTTCTTATTCTTATCCGTTGACTTTTTAGCTGAATCTCCTACTATTTCGAATCCACAAGCTGTGGGAAGCATACAGTCCATCAACTTGGACTCCATGTTACGATACACATTCGTTCCTGACTATACAGTACGGGCGGTAACGGAAGTGTTTTATGTTAAAATCAAGAGATCTCTTTATTTGGCTGCGAAACGAGCTACGCTTCTGGAAAAAAGCCAGAAAGATCCGTTACCCGGTCATGAACAATTTGACGACGAAGTCGAAAAGGTTGATTATTATGCGGATCATTTAGAAAATGTAACGAATCATTTAATGAGTCTCCCTAGTTTCGTGTATTATAAAAACCATTTTTTTTTCCGCTACGTAAATGTAAAACTTCAAAAAGATTGAATACATTTCTTCTATGTAGTTAATAAGCATATGAAGTTTCTAATTACAATATTTAATACCTGTTGTTTGAAAAATTCCTAAAGATTATCGTGTAATCAGGGCGTCAAACTAGGGGGAGACTTTACTCGTGAAAACATTCTCATAATTTCTAATTTTTTAGTTGTTACATTCTTTGGACGAGGATGACCGTAGTGTGCCAGAATCTCCGGTGTTGCCAATCGATAAAGAAAAAGAACCAAAAAAAGAAAAAGAAAGTATGCAATCTCCTGTTCATAGCGCAACAGCCCCGACTTCGCCCGCCCCCGTCAGCGCCAGCCCGGTTACACATTCGAAATTCGTTTCATCATACAGCGACCACAACGGGAAGCTGAAAAATTCACCAACAAAGGTATTATTTACGATTTCAAAGGCTCCAGCAGATTCCAGCCAATGAGTGTTGATTATTGTGCGTGTCACTTTATAGGCAACCTCGGTGACAAGTCCCATCCAAACTCCAAGCTTAGACATGGAAATGCTTGCGTGTCGAGAAGTGAACAGAGTAATGTCTGCAAAGAAATTACTCGAGGAGGAAGAAGAAAGAACGAATCTCCTGCCAAAGCAAGAGGACTCTTAACGTTCAGTGAATAGTCGATGATGTTTAAACGCGTCGACGCTTGTAAACAGAAAACTATCAAACAACGAAGAGCAGGAAAAACCTCTATGACATACAATGCTATCATGATGGCATTAGGTACTTAACAAATCACTTAAATATTTATCGCCAAACAAATCGATATATATCTGATCATGCGAGTTTTAATTTCGAAATAGTTGATTCAGAGACTGTTCGCGACATTCTAGTTCTATCGAGTTAGTATGCTCAGGGAAGATTGCCAAATTTACAAACGCATCCTTCATATTGTAGCCTACGTAAACAACGGACTACGTAATCAAAACGTGAATTCATTCTCAATCGATGATCTTTTTGTTTCCATTCAGATATTGCGTTCAAATGCATAATTCTTCTTTTTCTTTTCTTTTCTATTTACGTAAAAATAGGGCGGAACGCTTATCGTAATAACAACATACTCATTGAGAGACTTCGTGTTTCCTTTTGTATTTTTATTTTCCAATGATTTTGATGTAGAATTTGTAAATATCATTTCGTTTTTTTGCTATGTTGAGTTTTTCGAAAAAAAAGAAACCGAACTTCTGAAATGTGCATTTCATTTTCGACAATGAAGTACACGTTTATATAACATTTTATGAGAATCGTGTGTTTGCATATTGCGCAACATTATATTTTTATCGTAACGTGGAAAAAAGATTTCACAAGGATTTGAAAGAATTTGAAGGATTACTGGGCAAATACAATCGAGATTGTTAGATTACTTGTTATCGCGAAAGGGAAGAGAGAGAGCGAGAGATGGGAGAGAGAGGAAACGTATTCGATAAAAGCACATCGAGCGTTTACCAGGTGGGAGTACAAAACTCATTATTTAAAGTCTATCGCATAAATACAAGGAGGGTTTTAAAGTTGTGTGTTTCTTTTCCTTTTTGTTCTTGTTAAGTTTCGTCGATTTGTTTACGTCGTATCCTCAATACGAATGTGAATAGTGTGAATAGAAACGAATCCCTCATCTTATTAATCAATTGTAAAAAGATCCTCGGTATAGTATTACTACGAAAATTGATTGTATTTCTATTGAGTGCCTTAACGAGTTATAAAATCGTCTGCAATGAAATGCACTTTAATAGAAGGCGAATATATAATTTTCTAGAATGGGTTCCACCTTATATATGTTCGATTCAATACTCTTGCATTCTTACGACAATGGCACAGTCAATTTATTATAAATGTTGTTGATTCGAGGCAGATTTTCTTCATTCGTCATAACACTTTCATGCAACACGTGATATTTATTATACTATAATACATAGAAGATATACTCGTGCACAGTGTATTGTAAAAATACGATCGTGTATTTCAAACGAATAGTGTTGTTATGTGACAATGGCGCAACGGTACAATCCCCTCAAACAGTAGAAGAATAGAAAATTTCAACAAGTTCGATATTCTAACGATACATAAGCTTTTATTTTTCTCAATTGCTGTGTCAAATGAAAAAGATCGTTCCCCTATATATACGTATTATTGGTATTATACATACATATATACACACGTGACTAGACTGCGGATCTGTATGCAAAGTATAAATTTTTCACATTGATTATAAGAGTCTGCTATTAAGTAGACAGTTGCTCCTTTTTCATCAGGATTCTTCAATTATTTTTTTTATGTTTTTTACCGTTTTATATTTTACATGTTCATTTTTGCCATAAACGTATAAAATCTGCAGTCTACGATTAACATACATATACATGTAACGACGATCAACATCTGTACATATCCTGTGTTCGAAATAGGTGAAATAAGTACGAATAGAGATTTTTCCGAGTTTCAGAGTATCCCTAACGAAGAGATAATAATTATCTGATAAGCTGTTAAATCTACGAAGTAACAAGATAATGAGAAAATGAGAATCTGTCGTTGAATTTTTTACGGAAAGAATCAACTAGCGTACTTAATGCGTAAGCAACATAGAGCCGGTTCAACAAATAGGTTTACATATTAGCATATAGCGGCGAGAATCTATAGTTTTCACTTCGAAATCATTGCGGCTTATCGTTGTTTCCATTAAAAATTTAATACTTAGACTGTTACTGCCATATTTTTTATACGTACACATTGTTGTTTCGATGTTTGTTTTAAACTATTTTCTCTAAAACAAATTGAAAATTTGAAACGAAACCGATTCGGTAGCGTATCATTTTACAAGTATCGATTATTTGAAAAACAGAAAACGGCAACGAGAATTTAATTTCAAACCTTAGAGTTATTATATACATACCTGCTTAAGATATATGTATGTATGCATGTGTGTATATATATACACATACATACATACACACAAATTTAATATATACCGATTTTAGATCAACATACATTGTACAAAATCGTTCAGATTTTATTTTATACAACTATGTTTATCATTTGAACGATTTTACGTAAATAAGAACGTTTACATGTCTATTGTACCTTTGTGGAATGTTTCGTCGAGTACAATATAATTTATAGTATATAGCTTGAAAATACATTCGTTTGGACGTATTTCGCTTAAAGTAATCGGCATGCTACCAGTGTAATTCGATTGAACAATGCGAAACTTCAAACTGCAATAGAGGCGCAGAAAACAGTTGTCGCCTATATTCGTAGCATTTATTATTTTTTATATAGGTTACTTTTCTCCGGGTATCTATTATCGTTTTGTTGTTAATTTACAATGGATGTTATATGCAGTATTTTTATAGTTCATGTAGTTATTAGATTTCGTTTTTAAACCATTTATTGTATTGTTGCGAATCATTTATATTTATGGTTTTTCATAATCTGTGCGTATTATCTTTAGCCACATATATTCGTAAAGTGTTTATTCGTCTCTCATAACCAATACATTGTTTTGCTGTGAAAGTTTTAACAAATAAGAAAACAAAAATAGAGCAACAAGAAAAATTAGTGAAATTATTTAGTTTACACTGTATTCGCAATGCGATCAATTCGATTTAATTTATCAGGCTTCTGCATGGAATTCTATAGCTATATGGTGCTTACACCGATATCTTTTTCGTGATAGTGAGTTCATTGACACGAGAACTGTAATAAATTTCTCAATATTGCGGCAAGTACCTGCAATTCTACTAGGGATTGCAATTCGTTAAAATGAAGCTACACCAGTGCCAGAAATTCGGTAATCCCTATTGGTATCCGATTATAAATCTCTTGCACATACTCCCGACAAGATGATATATTATTACTTCTTCGTCGTGGTTAATTTCGAAATCAATGTATGTATGTCGATGAAAATGTACATTTGAGCAAAAAAGCAGAGTGAAATATTTATCAACGTATTACTGTATTCACAAAATATAAAGTACAATTTCGTTTTCAGGGGCTGCCTCTTGTTGATCCTTTGACTAATTTTCTATTCTTTTGATAACAACACATAGGAATGATTACACTATATTATCCGAGATAATTTGTCGGTTTACGAATAAAATTACTAATACGATTGAGAAATCGATTCGTATCGTAAATTTTTTGATTTTAAGCGACTCTCAAGCTGATAGATAAAATATTTAATTTGAATATTCCGTGCTGAGATAAACATTAAAACGGGGGGTAGCTATTTTTGGTTATTTATATATATATATATCATTGCCCCGTCATCAATTTAGCTTGTATTCGCGGCAAATGAGCGTGGAAACGCGTTTCCAACAGATGCGCATAATGAGAGGACCACAACAACGTGGCCCCTGATAGTTGATAGCTCTTCAATGCGGACCAGTCGGCGGGTAGCATCCGCAGGGGCCACCACGGGTTGCTCGCTACTCGCTGTTCCATTCCATCCCATTATTTTCTTCGCGATACTCTTACGCGGTCAAATCATCCAATCATCAGTGCAACCACGAATTTCTTCTTTTTGCAGCGTGCTGAAAACGTGCGACTAATATTCAACTGTTACGGTTCGTCGACCTACTATCATTCCATTCGAATACTACCGGATTACCGCCGCATCATTTGAAAAGGTACGTCTCATTTTCTTTCAGCTGCAACGATGCTACAGTAATAATAATAATTATAATATTAATAATAATATGTTTTTATTATATAATAAAAAGGAGGGTAAGAAAAGAAATAGAGAGAGAGAGAGAGAGAGAGAGAGAGAGAGAGAGAGAGAAAAGAGATAGAGTCAAGTGAAAGCAGAAATATAGAAATCGAGACTCATCCAGGGTTTAGAGAGGAAGAAAACTAATTGTTTGTGATCGTTATGAGCAATAATTGAATTCGTACTATTTCTGATCCGAAGATTGGATCTAGGTCAACACGGCGATATCGTCGCACGAACGAACCTCGACAAAATCATTTATTAAACGATGAAAGTTCACGTGGTGACACGTGACGCGACACGGAACCGCCGGACACAATTCGCAGAAGTGAATCAGTCGTTTCGTGAGCATCGTTGACAAGTTGTTATTTAATGTTGTTGGACGTCCTCGTGCGCGTCCAGGAACAGTCCAACTAATTGCATCTACACCGATGTCTAGGGTTCTCAGAGGAAAGTCGCGGGGAGATAATTGCGCGACAACCAAGGTGAATATTTGTAGAGGAAAGGCTGCCTACCTCCTACCGTGTTCGAATTCGAATGTTTTTGTTCTTTTGCTTGACAAAAAGCGATCTTGAAATCTCCGCAAATGAAGCAAAAATTATTATCTGCGTTCGTATCGAACTCGCAGTCTCGGCGCAAAAATTGGAGAAGTTACCATTTATAAATCAAGAAATTCCGACACGATGTAATACAAATGTATAACGCGTAATCAAAGCATTTCTTTCGGATGGAAGTCGAAATGAAGGAACCCGAGCATTAGAATGAGCGCGGTTTCTAAAACAATAGGGGATATTTTGTGGGCTGACGAACACGGAATACGAGAGCCGTCTCATCGCTTTTTTTAAATCTAACGAAGGTGTTAATCTTGTTCGAGCCATAAAATTCTCGTAAATATTTTCCGAGCTCCGGGAACGTGTTGCTACCCCTGCTTCGATAAAAATAGTAGGGAATACGGGACAAAGGAATTGTTTACGTCGATTCTAAAGGCTGAACCAGCGAAGGTTGTTCGACAAAAAAGATTCTCTCTGGTAGTTGAAGTTCTTCGACTTGTAACAGGGAATAAAAAGAGGGGTAGTTTGCCCCCCCCCCCCCGCAGCTGGAAGGAATATTCGTTGATTATCCGCGGCCGAGACTCACAGCGAACAAAAGAGAGATTTGAGCGTGGATGATATAATAAAAGAAAAGACTACTCTTATCGCATTCCGGATCGGTCGTCTCTGCCGAGGAATCTCTCGGCTATGATAATTACCACTCGATATATCGATCCGTGTACTTGATTTCCCCGAAAAACGTACGTACTTATCTAGTCGGGAGGCGGCCCGCCCGTGCAGCAGTAATTTCGTTTCCAATTATTTTCAATCTCCTACGATCCGCAATCTTCGACCCAAATACGGAAATCCGAGCTTCATCCCCCGTGATGCTCAACCTCCTCAATATTTCTCTAGCCTAATATTATTTATCTGATAAGGTCAAAGACATAACGGTAGCGATAATAACGTAATTATTTGTTGATCGCGACAAGGATATCTGCGATCGCGTGGAGCGATTCGATCGACCGTAAACTAAACTGCTCTAATAGATCGTAACTTGGTTGTTCGGAAGTTAAATTGCATTAAACGATTCGTCTGTTACAGACACTCGATAAGAGTCCTATCAACCGGACGCGCTCCGCGGATAGCATCGATAGAGTCTGGAGCCGAAGAATATAAATTGTCGTCGTCGTTCGAGCGTGCCCCGAACAATACCAAGACCTTACTAACAGCGAAAGGAACGAAAGATCGAATACGCGTGAATGCGCGGAGACTAAAACACGTACGATCACGAGCGAGGAAAACGAAGCAGCTACGAAAAATGAATCGGGTCCTACATTGCTCGGGCATCGGCGAAGGAGATCGGTGATTTAAAGATGAACTCGTCTTATCTCTGGGGAGAAGACGAAGAATGGGGACCACGATACTATTTCACCTACTACAGCCAGTTTGGGAACCGTACAAGAGCTAGCACCGTCGAGGTAACGAATCTAATCCGAACGTCTCGGCCCGAACTAGTTGACGATCGACCTAATTGTTTATCGAACAATTCTTGAACGCCCTTCGACACACTCGCGTTCTCTTTCAGCGTTTGAATTCAATGCGAATGCTGTTATTCCGGCGAAAACGGAATACATCGGATTAATTTACATCGTTTCCTATTTGAAACACACTTCTGAGCAGAGAGAATCATGGTCGAAAAATTATCAGGTTAGCAGGCTAATTAGCAGCCTGTTGAGTCTGGCAAAGAGAGCGCACCCACCTCGTTAGACGAAAGGGAACAATGCCGGGTGGAACAGTGTCCCAATTTTCCTATCCCAAATAAGCTACGAGAAAACCACGCGAGCCAACGCCGCGATATCTTTTCCCGATTCCTTCGACATTCGTTCGAGATTCGAATAGAAAAAGAAGAACAAGAGAAAAGAAAAAAAGCAAGAAATCTTTGCGTATTTCCAGGTGGTGATACTAGCAGTTAGCTTTGTCTTAGCGATAGCCGGGAACTTGGGTATAGCCGGCTGCATACTCGGATACCGAGAAATGAGAACGCCAACGAACTTGTGCTTAGTGAACTTGGCGGCCGCCGATCTTCTGTTCAGCATCGGTGTTCCGGCGATCGCCTATACCAGACTAACGCAGTCCTGGCGGCTTGGGGAAGCGATTTGCAAGCTGCTACCTTACACGCAGGTATTTCTCTCTTCCCTCTTCCTTGTGAATTTCCTATATCTGGCTATTTATTTAACGGCTTTTACTCGTTATAGTTTGTCTGTGGCTTTGTGCTTCTGTGGACGTTGACGTTCATATCGATGGATAGGCATCGGTGTTTAGCAGTAGCTCCTTATAGAAGCGTTTTAACCAGGTCTCGGGTTCTAGCGGCTAGTCTCGTCACCTGGATCGTCGCGGCTTTCATTTTTCTACCTGTGATATTTTGGTTCCAATCAAAGGTACTTGAACAATTGCGTAGCACATAGCATGTCTTAACTCGTTAGAGAATATTAGCAGTGTAGATGCATGTCCAGTCCTCCCTGTTCCGGCTTTCGTTGATACTCTCTAAATGTACAGGACATCGCGGACGAGCTAACGATCTGCACTCTAGTCTTTCCGCGGAGCGACGTCGTCAGCATCTCCTTGTGCTTCATCGTACCGATCGTCATCCTAGCTTGTCTGCTACCGATGACTCTGCTGGTCTACCATTATCAGCGGATCTTTCAGAAGATTCTCGACTCGCGAAGCAGATGGGCCGTCTCCTGCATCGCACAAGTAATTCTAATTGATGTTGACATGACTAGATATCTGGACCCAAAGCTACATCATACACTTTTTACCCACTGGCACCGGGTTTCAGATATCTTTTCCTCCTGAGAAGAACCCAATAAATACACGTACGTTCGAAAGCAGGGGTTGGAGAGCGGTGCAACAGGTAGAAGAGATTCTGAGCTGTCGGTGATGGGAACGTTGCTAACATGGCCAGGAAGAAAACTATCCGGTGCTAGTATCGGGGGCAGGCCAGGACGAGCTGGCAGTCTTTCTCAACACGAAGAGATACGATTGCAAAAGCATTTGCGGGCTGTGCGAATTTTAATGCTGAACGTGCTCTGCGTTCTCATCATGTGGCTACCCATCACTACCGTCATGCTGTTGATCTACGTGGACGGCAGGAGACCAGCCGAGAATACAGACTTCTTCCTAAGGTCCCACCATTTCGTTTGGACTCTGATCGCGGCTCAGTTTAACGCTATAGTCAATCCTTTGCTGTACGGTGTTTTCTCAGAAAATTTTCGAGTCTGTTTTGTGAAACTGTGGCGACGTAGGCTCGCTGGCAATGTCAGAACTACCGCGGAACGCACAGGGTCCAAGAAAGGCGAGAAAACGTTGGAAGCGTTCCAGACGCGGTTAGGCAGCGTCAGAACACCCACCAGTTCTAGGAATCTGCAGAAACAGTCGAAGAAAAGCTCTAGCTGTAGTATAGGTAGCATCGTTGAAGTACCCACCACAGATAAATCATAAAACATCCTGTACTTCGTACATATGTATAATTACGTGTATACAGAGTGTAAAATTACGATTACGAAAAGAATACGATGTTAGGAATGTGAAAAGTTAAAATCAAATAATTTTTTAAAATCATTGGTATTTTAATTACGACTGCACATTGGGCCAAACGAATGAATAAATCATCTGAAATACAATGAAAAATTTGAAGAGTGCCTCATTAACTGGAATAAGATGTCTTTTCAAATTCAACACGCGTATGTACTTACAGAGGTCTTGTAAACGCTGTCTTAAGCCATGCATTCTCTTCTCACACTTCTTTTAATCTCTGACAATGTTCTCATATCGATAGTTCCCTCTTGTAGAAATTTTTCGAGGATAGCGATTTTCGAATTTATAAAATCTACCCTTTCTACTTTTGCTTTCTTTCTTTTAGTCTTTTCACGGTGGGGATAGATTACATAGTTTCTGATAAGTAACCAAGGATAACCTTCTTCCTTTAAGCTAATTAAATCTACATTAACTTGTAAAGAATTTATCATTTTATCTTCTGGTATATCAACATCAACTACAGTTTCTTGATCTTCTACTCTTTTCATACAAAATGTAGTTTCATTTTCGAATTTTACATTAAATACAACCCAACAATCTTTTGGAAGGATGTCTCCAAACGTTGCGGATAAAAGAAATAAATTAGTTACCCTGTGTAACACTATGTTTGGACAGAATTGAACTTTCTGTTTATGAGCATACAAATTTATTCTTTTTAATTTATCTTCTTCAGCTTGTAACTCATTGTTGAGTTTATGTATTTCCTGAGTTCCTTTATAAATCTTGTCCATTATAAGATTTGTATCTTTCAACATATCCAAATGAAGACCAATAAAACTGTCTTGTTCTCTAGATATAACTTTTTCCACTGTATCTATAGGAAATTCCACCAACTGTTTATTTGTAGTTAAACCTAAAATTATTTTTGAATTGTAATATCTCAAACAAGGAAAACTGTTGTTTTCTATACAAAACTGTTGAACATTATCCTCCTTTAACAGTTGCTTTCTTCCATAATACAATTTAGATTCATCCGAATATACGAGCCATAATGAATCCATGCTTGATAGACTAAAGCCTGCACAAATAGTGTGCACATTTACACCTAATAAAATCTTTTCAAAAGTTAGTTTATTATCCTTTGAGTGCATTACAACGACATTGTCACCACTGGTGACAAACAATAAACCAGCAATTTTAGAATCACTTTGTATAGGTATTATATCCCTGATCGGATAAATGCTATTGTACATTATTTGAACAGTTTCGTTCATTAGCATTAGAATTTTCTTTTCAATTGCTATAACATATAAATTTTCTATGCTACAATCGTCTTTGGTTATGGTCTGCATGAATTGTTGCGTTGTATTTTCTACGTTCACTGTGTAAGTAGATAACTTGCATGAATCTCTTTCCTCCGAAGAAAGTTTTAGCAACAATTTACTCGTTGTATCCTTTTTATTATCCAAGTAAAGGTGCTTGTTTCTTACAGTTAGTACTTCATAAAAAGCCGTACCCATTCCAATTGCACTTTTCATCAAAATAACAAATTTTCCTTCTCTCGAAAGTTCGTATACACCTTGTGGAACGCAAATAAGAAAGATTCGGCTTGCAAAACATTGTATATTTTTTATCGAGGCAGGAGCTGTTAGTACTTTGAAAGGCACAGATTTATCGTTTCCGTACGGAAATATTATAACCTTATCTTCATTCCAACAGAAACAAGTTTCTACTTCGTAAAATTTACAAACGATAAAATATTTTGGCACAATCTCACTATTTACCCTAATATTCATTGTCTTAATTAATTATCGTATACAATAATTATATAACAATTAACATTTCATCTCTTACGGATAGTTTGTAACAATAAAATCCGTCAATAAAACTGTGTGAAAGTAGCTGAACGCAACTTGCAGCCTACAATATTATACATATGCATGCCTACGTACATGCATATACTGGGCGATTGCGATGCCTTTGGTGGAGAAAAAATGAAACTCCGTGCGTTGTCCGTACAGCGCTAATTAGGATAGTGGCAAAACGCTCAAATTGTTAGCCAAAATCAATTGTTAGTAATTTGACTAACAGTTTGAGCATTTTGCCACTGTCTTAATTGGCGCTGTACGAATCCTGAAAAGAGCTTCACTTTTTTTCCAGAAAGGGCGCCACGTATGCCCAACGTAGAATCGTCTAAAAACATTATTTATGACAAAATTAGGGCATAAAATTATAAACCGAGGGCAGAGAATCATTTAAGAGAATCTACTGCATCGATGTCATATAAAAAAAAACAAGTGATAGCAGTGCGAAACGTAACTGATTATTCATTGAGAAGTTTGGTTAACTATTATGTTAATTAATTATATTTTATGTTGTTTTCGTTTGGTTTTCTTATACGATATCGATGCAGCAGACTTTTCTGAACAGTTCTGTGTTCTTGGTTTACTTTTTGGTTGTCTACATTTGTCATAATTTGTTTTACAGTGATCCTATATGTACATCATAGGTCCCGGGTTGCCGCACACTATGACGACCCACACATAGAAGAAAACCATATACGTATATTAGTTTTAGAGGTTTATATCAAGTAAATCTGACGCTTTAATATCGAAATGTGCAGTTCGTAAGTGGAAACTTTAGATTCCCAAAAGACTAAACTGGGGTGCTTCGGATGTAGAAATATCCGTTTTGCAGTTATTGTGGAGATATTTGCAATATTCGGCCAGAGTGGTGTCAATTCACGAGCAAGACGACACAAGATGGCCGCCGCTAACAGTTTTTCGTAAATATCGAGAGATATAGAGCTCGAATCGAAAATTCGCATCCGAAGACCCCGAGATAAGGCATGTACAAAGGCAGTGGAGTGTATTTTCAGTAGATTACTTAGTTAATTAAGACACACGATTACTTGATGTGAATTGTGTATCGGAAACACCATCTCGAGCTTCCGACATTCTTTACTACTAGCGTCACAGTTCTCTTCCAACCAAAAGATGCACCACAGCGAGCTTGCCGTTAACTATAGTTACTTACAGTCGATAATACAGATCGACAAATTACATAGTTTTACACTTCCATCCAAAATATTTTGAATCAAAAGACGACTAAACATGGTTGCCACATTTCATTC